TGATAGTAATGGGCGTACTCCTCATCTGCCTTCATTAGATTGACCATTTTGTCACCCATGGCCTCTCCAATGTTCATGTACGTCTCGGCGTTGCCACCATAATGCGAGGCTGAGCTTCCTCCCATGGAGAGCGGGTGAGAGTAGACGGTCCCCACGTTGCCCTCGAATTCTGAATACACACACACACAACCAGACGAGACCGGATGTGTTGCAATGGATGCCAACAACACGCATTGCCAGATAACAATGGTCAGGGAGTAACTAGAGCTGGGACAGGCATGATAAGAACTTTGCCAGGTGTTATTAGGTATTACTGAGCCCATCAGACATGTCTCGTAATCACATGGATCTCCAAGCCTAAGGTCGATCTGCAGTCATGCACAAAGACAAGTTAATAGTGTGTACATTGATTTAGTAATACAAGTTTTTTTACACAATAGAGTAAACAGCCAACACAGGTGACACGATACTTACGTGGGTAGAGTGTTGCATTGGCCACGTTGAGCATTGCCTGCAGGATCATGCCCTCATTGCCAGTAGCACCCATGGGTGTCTGGCCAAGGGAGGCAATGACGAACTTGGCGCTGGGAACATTGTACTTCTTGCGAAGGGTCTTGATCAGCTGGACAAGGTTGGTTTCATAGCGCTCTGAGAGACCGCTGTCGTATCTGTCACGATCTCCCTGCCACCAGAAGAAACCAGCCACTTCGTAATCGGTCTCTTCTGGCATGTATGCTGAGAAGTTACTGAGAACGAATGACATGCGCTCTGTGTCTCCGTCATACTGCTCACCCGCCATCCAATTTATAGGTTTTGGCTTGGTTCCCTTCGCCCACTTCTCGGGAGAATCATGATATCCAGCATACGTCCACTGGTTTCCTTTGCTGTCCGTGTAGGCCCATTCTTCCGATCCAGGTGGGAGCAGATCCCAACCCAGTGCTCTGTAGACAAACATATCACATGTTCAAAGTCATTACTTTAGTACGTCCACGGCCAATCTATGATCCAGGAATGCTGACAACTAACATGTTACTTAACACAAACAACAAACCTACTTAGAAGTAGGATACCTCCTTGGACAATAATGTAAGGACAAATTGGTTGGTTGTATCCAATTTCGTAAGAAGTGTCAGCACCGACGCAATCCACAAAGTCAAGTAAAGCCAATTTAGTTAACAAACCTAACTGAATGTTTTGGGGAAATTGTTGCATAGTGCAAACAGTGGAGCAGGGCTAGGCTATTGCAACTCAGAGTTACATGCTGTTTGCCACCATCAGAGGTCTCGGCTTCATATCTCCATGGACGCACCAAATGGGGATCGTGTTGGGAGAATTAAGTTGAAAAAGAACACAGAAGAAAGAAAATGAAAAGATTGTGTTGCTCAGTGAGCAAAAGAATAAGTTTTAAGTATTTGCGTGAACACTGTTAGACTTTTAAATTCAAGAGGAGACTGTCTGTGAGGAGAAGGAGAAATTATGTCCAAGCAGGGTAGGACACTGTGGATCTACCCTCTTACTCGCGTATCCCAACCAACCAGCGACTGATTTCCCCCACGTTGCAAAGCGCACGGCTGAAAAGCTCTCAACGGTTCGGTTCCGCCCTGCCACTGTCAAGAGAGAACTCCGGCGCCTAAATGCATCGAAAGCTACTGGACCGGATTGCATTCCCGCGCGAGTTCTGAAGATGTGTGCCGACCCCCTAAGTAAGCCACTCTCCAAACTGTTCTCCCTTAGCTTCTACAGCATGGTTATGCCGACATCCTGGAAGACAGCTAGAGTCACACCCATTCACAAGAAGAAATCCAAGAACCTGCCTCAACACTACAGACCTGTGTCTCTGCTGTCTATCATATCCAAAGTGATGGAAACAATTGTCAATCGTCAGATAACCAGTTTCGTGGAGTCCCACAATGTCATCTCTGCGAAACAGTTCGGGTTCAGAAAGGGCCTGAGCACAGCCGACGTCTTAACCAAGCTCCACTGTGAATGGTCCCGAGCAGCCGGCCTAGGAGGAGCCGCCCATGTTTTGGCGATAGACATAGCAGGCGCCTTTGATAAAGTCAGCCATGCTGGCCTGCTGCATAAGGCTTCCGTGTACGGTATAGACGGCCCGCTTCTCGGATGGCTGGAAAGCTACCTGCACAACCGGCGCCTGCAGGCTGTTGTGGGCGGCCAAGAGTCCTCCCTGCACCATATCCAAGCAGGGGTACCACAAGGTAGCATCCTTGGACCAACGTTATTCCTCCTGTACGTGAATGACTGCGAGGACACCTTGCCTGCTGGTGCTGAGCTTGCCACGTATGCAGATGACACGACACTGTATCAGTGCATCTCTGCCACCGCCAGCATATCCGACTCTGCAGCACAACTCCAGGAAGCAGTGGACGCCGTCTCCCACTGGGGTTCCAAGTGGAAGGTCACCTTCGAGCCATCCAAATCTCAGGCCCTCATCATCGACCACCGCAAGCCTCCCCCAGCGTTCCCACCAGTGCTCTTCAATGGAGTGACTGTTCCTGAAGAGAAGGAAATTAAACTTCTGGGCATAGCATTCGACTCGCAACTGTCCTACGCAGCACACCTCCGGGCCGTGGCCTCAAAGGCTGCCCAACGCCTACACTTCCTGAGAAAGGTTGCGCCCCTGTTGGACTCCAGCGGCCGCACGGCAGTCTACAAAGGCTTCGTGCGGCCAACAATGGAATACTGCTGCCTGGTGTGGATGGGGTCAGGTACATCCAGACTGGACAAAATCCAGCACAAGGCACTGAAGGTGATTGGCCCAGGCGCCTGGCTCCCCAGCCTGAAACACCGCCGACTGGTTGCTGCGCTTTCGTTCACGTTCAAGCTGTCTTACCTTCCAACAACAAGCCCCCTGAAGCCCATCCTCCCACCTCCAGCCAATCCCCGCCCAGCGGGTGGTCGATCCACTAGGTTAGCCACGGAGACTGCCCACTGCCACCCGCTCCAGCTCAAGTCGACGCTGCCCGTGCGCATTCGTAGCAGCCTCCAGGGTTCCTACCCAGACTGCATTATTCCCTTGTGGAACAGCCTACCAGCGACCATTCTACCAGCACGGCCGCAACCCAGCCAGCTCCAATTATTCAAAGAAAAATGCAACAAGTATCTGCTGCACCTGAACTGGCAAGCAGCCACCGACGCCCTATGAAACGGTTTAGACCAGTGCCTCACTAGCATCCTCCTCCCCCCCCCCCCCCTTACCACAGTGTGACGTTATCTTTCACTCTGCTTCTCTCACGACCATCTACCCATTGTCCTTGTTTCTCACTATTATTCATTTCCCCTCTTCCTCCTCTCTACATGGTTTTACTGCATTATGGCGCGCTTTGTCTGCGTAGACGCCGAGACCTTTGAGGTCGGCAGAGCAGCCTGGCCCCGCCACCACTTCTCGCACATATTCGGGAATATAGTGGACTTTCGTATAAAAAAAAAAAAAAAAAAAAGTATGCTATGTGTGGCCCAGTGCCAGTTCGTTCTGAAGAGATGGTGATAAGCTGCTGTCTTGAACTTTTGAATGTTCTTTGGGTGAAATGGGTGGGGAATGATAGAGGCAGGCAGCTCTCTAGGCTAGCAGTTCCCTGCACCTAGATTTATGCACTTGGGCACTTGCCCATTGCTGTCCTGTGATTGCACCATTGCTGCTCTGTGATTGCACCATTGCTGCCCTGTGGCTGTTTCCTAGGTTTACTCCAGTAGCTTTGCTCAATTTCCTTGGAGAAACTAGTGGCTGCACCGTCCAAATGGGGATGACGGAGTGGGGAAAGGCTGGGCTCACATTGTTCCAGTGTTGCATTGATACAAGATACATGTACATGTATGTCTTGTTAGCAGATCATTGTAATGAGCATGAAAATGGGAGACGCAACGAACTAGCCTCGCTTCACTATTCTACTGTGTAGAGCACTCTGCCTAGGTACCATCCAGGGAGTAGTAAAATACACGTATTTTACTACTCCCTGGTACCATCTAACTAACTTTCAATACAGAGGCTGAGCACATCCTCTTGAGAGAAGGCGGTACAAACTTGAAAGGCAGTCGATGAACGCGAACACATAATATTTTACCTGTTTCCAATGCAGCCCTTCAGGATCATAACTTTAGGCTTTGAGAAGTTTCCCACAAAGTTTCCAATGCCCAACTCAGGTCCAATGGTGTTGCCAGTAACAGTCATCCATTCGTTGTGTCCCAGTTTGGCTTTGGCGAATGATTCGTTGCCGCTGCCAATGATTTCCACGTAGCGGACATCATCGCGGACGGCCCAGCTGTTGTTTTTGGCGTCCCAGAGATACACATACTTATGTTCGGTTTTGACGGCAAACCTGCACAACACAACACAACACCACACAACACAATCATTATCATGATACACTACTCAGCTCTTCACAAGACCGACCCGGAGCGGGCGAAGGACCAGCGTATTTCTTTTGCATTTCTGCCAGTATGGCTAGGGGCAGGCAGGCATAGTGGGATGGTCTAAGACTATGATTTAGGCGCTGCATCTGCGCCTTGATCCTAGAGGGTGGTGGCGTTCCCACGGCGGATGCGGAAAACTCGGCTTCCAGCCGAGTCTCACGCGAACCGTGAAATTTATTTTTATCTTATGGTCGATTGAGTGAATCCCGAGCAAGTGCACTCCAAGTGAGCGCGATCGTTTGGCCGAATCCGGAGTAAGTGTACTTGGAGTGCAATCCAACCACACCGGCTTTTACAGAATCTTGGTTGGATGAAAAAACTGAACATGTATCAGTTATCAGGTGTTTACTGTGTACGTTGTTCCTCTCTGTGTTTGCACAGAGCCAGAATGCTATGGGACTGTTTACCGCCATCACTCACTTCTATGACCTGTATCCCCTAATTCAGACATTCCCTCTTCCAGGATGTTTGCCGAAACACACACTACACTGATGGCCGCATGATTCCAACACTTTAAAATTAACTTGCGCACTTTCTCTGACTACATGTACTTCTTTTCTTCATTTTCTTTTTGCACTCTTTCCGGAATACATCGTATTTCTATGAGTAGGAGATTCCCTGGACAGGCCTGAGGCCTAGAGCCTCTGGGAAATCCTTGATTAGATGCAATACACACAAATACAATACAAATATACACTGCTTTGAGGGAAAGATGCAAACGGGAAAAGTCTGAAGAAAAAAATTGACTGTCACCACCAGGACTCGAACCTGCGACTTTCGCTTGAGGCCAGCGATGCTCTAACCACTGAGAGACAGATGCGCAAACGTTACTGTAATTAATTTTATAGAAAAGAAAAAAGGACCCAGGAACTACAGTTACGCTATAATGTCCACTAACACCACCAGTTACTAAACAATCAGCTCATGCGATAACATTGTACGACACTGATCAACGGTACTGTCGTTCTACACCTAACTGGCAGTAACGGCTCTAGCACATCCTGGATGCCCACTCCACCAATTTTCCAACTTGGAAGGTTCTAAGTTAAAGAAATAACATAAGGAGGGGAAGGTGAGCGCAACCAAGACAAGCACGAGCTAAAAGTCTCAGCTGGGAAGGACGTTGGCGGATGTACATGCATGTCGATAGACGATGCTGGCCAGACCATTGGACAATACGGTCAAACCATGATTCAAGGACGCAAAGCAACATTCCATGCAACTTGTGTGGCTCAAAGATGCGAAGATCGGGGAAGCTATGCGAACAAGAATCATGCAAAACCGAAAACAGCACTGTACTCGGATTATGACAATTTAGATGGACAATAAGCAGCGGTAACAAGCATCTTTGAGCTTGTCTTGGTTGCGCTCACCTTCCCCTCCTATGTTATCATAATATTATAACTTAGAGCCTTCCAAGTTGGAAGGCTGATGGAGTGCGCAACCGAGATGTGCTAGAGCTGTAAGCCAGTTAGTTGTAGAACGTCAGTACTGTCGGTCAGTGTCGTGCAATGTTATCGCATGAGCTGATTGTTTAGTAACTGGTGGTGTTAGTGAACATTATAGCGTAACTTGTAGTTCCTCATTCCTTTTTCTTTAATCCTCGGCTCTCCATCCGAGTCTATTATTGTAATTCTGTTGAAAATATTCTTGTATTGTTGTATAGAAAGGAAAAGGACATAATTATGGATGCGAGTTCTGTCCACCACTGTAACTAGATACTATAATTATACGGTCAGAAAGTGCGCCAACTACAGTCCATTCACAAAAAGATGGGCCCTGGCTCTGGCGAGCTCCCGTATTAGGCGATTTTTCAAGATTTTATCGTACACAGTGCAGTGCTGTGAAATTTGAAATTTGAGAAGTTGGAGGTCACCTTCCGGGTGGAGGATGCTGCCTTGCGTTGGATATCCTCGTATCTGTCTGCTCGTTCTCAGGCTGTTCGCTTGTCTTATTTCTTGTCTGATCCCCTCCCTGTAACGTCTGGAGTGCCCCAAGGTTCCATTCTGGGTCCTTTGTTATTCTTGCTTTACGTTAATGACCTACCTTCAGCTGTCCCCGATGTTAGTTTGTATGCGGATGACACTGGCCTTATCTGTTCTGATTCCTCCCCTGCACAATTACTCCTTACCATGCAGCATCGCATCAACAGCACTGTCATGTGGATGCAAACGTGGAAACTCCAGCCCAATTTAGACAAGACAGAAGCCATGTATATTTCTTCATCCCCTCCTGATCAACCATTATACTTCCCTGACTCGACTATGCTTATCCGTGTTGTTACTCAGCACAAACATCTGGGTGTGATGTTTGACTGCAAACTCTCTTGGGCTGCACATGTCAACTGTGTATGCAAGCGAACCAGTTCAGCATTAGGGGTACTACAACCACATTGCACTCATTTGCCCATCCAGTGTAAACTATTATTTTATCAGTGCTATATTCTCCCTATATTCGACTATTGCGATACCGCTTGGTGTGGCCTTTCTGACACAACTCTGAACCAATTAGAAGTCCACCATAGATTTATACTTAAAATTCTTTACAACAAGGATCGATGTTTTCCTTCGGATGCCCTTTATCGACTTGCACACACTTCTCCTCTCTCCGTTCGTCATAAGCACCATCTCTGTACACTGGTTCATAAAATATTTCTTCATAAAACCCCTTCACACATGATGAAGTACAATTGGTTTTCGACAAGCTCAACCCGTAACGCGCTCATCCTGTCAGCCCAGTATCTAAAGTCCCCTTTGTTTTCCGGCTACTCTCATTGGTTATCATTACCATACGGTCTGAAAACTTGTTCTTCTATTGGTCAGTTTAAAGATCTACTATCACAACTGAACTAGACGCAATAATTATCATCGAAGACCATTCTCGAATACCTGGGTGATGCACGAATTTTGATAGTGCTCACTTCCGCTAATCGTTTTTCTTTGTAATTTTCCATTCATTTTCTGCTCTAATTCATATTTGCTTTGTTTTCCTAGCTTACTATTGCCGTGGCTGGCTCAACGCCCTTGTCTCAGGGGATTCTGTCCCTGCATTAGCTATGCTTGTCACATGCTATGAGATTGTGTCTAATAATAATAATAATAATAAGAAAGGGTACCCGAACTGGGGTTCGAACCGTACAATGCACTGTTGCAGGCAGGGTCAAACGGCCTGGATTTTGATGATTTTTCCCAATTCAGTGCTCTTGAGGCAAAACCTGGCCGAAATCCTATTCTTGCTATGGCTTGCTTTTTGGAGAAATAGACTTCAGAAACATAATTGGAAAAGGATTCCATAGGGGATTTCAGAAAAAATTCTAAAACAACTCAACGGTTGACCCATTTATGGCCCGAGAAAAGCTAGAAGTCCATCTTTTTCTGAATGGACTGTAGGCACAAAACTGACAGAGTGCTGAGACATTCGACTGTATACTAGTAACTAGTTACAGTGGATTGGTGGACAGTTTAACTCGTATCCATAATTATGTCCTTTTCCTTTCTACATTTATTATTGGCTCAACATCCGAGTTTCAAATTGTATTGTTGTATTGTACTCGTATTCTGGTATATTTGCCGAGCTATCTTGCTCCACATCCTGGCAAAAAACTGCGTACATTTTACGTACCACACCCTTGCTTTGTTCGATTGCGCCGGCGTTGCTCGGACCACACCGCCTGCTCGCACTCAATACAGATTCGCCAACGATCAATTCTCCTATCCACGATGAGAATTAACCGTATTGCGTGACCCATCCTTTCAGCGTACTTGTCTTTCCTTTTCCATCTGGACTCCTCCTCAGGTGCTTTCCCTTTTCTCTCTAGACTAGTAGTAGTACTACATGTAGTATAGTGCTGGCAACTGAAATCCGACCCCCCCTAGCGTCTCGTACGAATCGCTAACGCAGCTAACGCACCGCTAGGGGGTCGGATTTCAGTTGTCAGCACTGTACTAGTGCAAGTACATGTACATGATTGTACATGTACGTGCAACTACACAGTCTGCGGTAGGCATACATAGTGTACTTCGTCTGGGTAACGCGTAGTGAGAGACATGGGGAAGCTGCCGTACAGGGCTAGGGGTGCATGACCGTGCAATCCCGTCTCTCGGCACCGGGAGTTCAGCTCGCTCTATTCGACTCCAATGAGTGAAGAGGACCAATGATAATGTATCGGGGAGAAGTAAAGAGATTTACAAAACAAAAAACGCACACACGTACCCGAGCGATCCGTTCTTATTGTCCGGACCGATGCTACCTTCGCCCAACATGTTGGACTGTCCCATGAGCAAGAAAACTTGGGCCTTGTCTTGTGCGTGACACGCTACTACCATGGCCACAGCCACGATAACTGAGACCACACGAATCATGATGAATCGGGCGCAGCTCCAACCAGCCAAGAAACTTTCCGCAAAGTCAAAGAGTCGCGAAAGCTGCCTACCTCAGCACGAATAGATATAGAGAGTGTTGGGTGGTGGTGTGTCTTTTTCTTTTCCCTTGATAATTATCGTTCCCATACATCTACAGAGTAGACCTACAGACCTCAAGTCTGTACTGCATGTCGCTGGGTCCGAGACAAGCAGCTGCTACTACAGTGCTAGTCGACTAAGTACTAGAGTAGTAGAGAGTGTCAGCGCTGGCAGATCTAATTATTGTACATCTTGGGGGGAGGAGGAGAGGTGTGTGGGGGAGTCACTGGCGATCGTGACACTGCTTTTGGCTCTAGCGCAGATCACAGGAAAACACAAACAGTGCGGACAGAGTGCTGACTGTTCTACAGTGGTTTGTACGTACACTGTACATGTCACTTGACCTGAACCAGTGCCTTTTCAATGCAGCACCCTGCTCGAATAGCTGGCAATTCATTTGTCGCCTATAATTATGAATGTGTTGTAGGAATGTTTCTAAGTTAAAAAAAAAAAAAAAAGTAAATTATCGTATCCGTTCCCGAAGGGAACTCACGACGGCCGCTAACACCCGATAAACCCTAGCGGCAGGTGCAGCGCCTAACGGTGGGGGTGAGTGTTTCTAAGTTCTCTAGCAAGAATGTCCATCGTGCAGCTACACATACAGGCATACTACATTGAGCACTGTAGCCAGTGTATGCAGCCTAGGGACTTTAGACAACTGTACAGGCATACTACAGTATGTAGTCATGCTAGCCACCACACCACACTTAGTGACAGCATGCAGTGCAGGTGGGATTTCTTCACCCTCGAACTTCTGATCACACCAAACAAGCTAGTGTAACCAGTTCCAGTGACCTGCTGCTGGCTTCTGTCCACCACAACAACAACAACACTGGATAGAAAACTTCTAAAATGGCTAAAGAATAAACGAATTTTCAGAATAAAATAAAATTTCGATGCATAAAATGTTGCCATTATGCAAACGTGACGGTGCAATCCAATGCACGGATGGGAAATAAGTATAATGCAGGCGTCAAGGCTTGAAGTTCCACGCGATGCCCAACGATTTTCCTCAATGATAGTAACGGGCATACTTCTCATCTGCCTTCATTAGATTGACCATTTTGTCACCCATGGCCTCTCCAATGTTCATGTACGTCTCGGCGTTGCCACCATAATGCGAGGCTGAGCTTCCTCCCATGGAGAGCGGGTGAGAGTAGACGGTGCCCACGTTGCCCTCGAATTCTGAACACACACACACACACACACACACACACACACACACACACACACATAACCAGACCAGATCGGATGTGTTGCAATGGATGCCAACAACACGCATTGCCAGATAACAGTGATAAAGGAGTAACTAGAGCTGGGACAGGCATGATAAGAACTTTACCAGGTGTTACTAGGTATTAGTGAGCCCGTCAGATATGTCTCGTAATCACATGGATTCCATCTACGTCATGCACAAAGACAAGATACAGTCTGTACATTGATGTAGCACAACACGTTTTTACACAATAGAGTAAACAGCCGACACGGGTGACAAGATGCTTACGTGGGTAGAGTGTTCCATTGGCCACGTTGAGCATTGCCTGCAGGATCATGCCCTCAGTACCAGTAGCACCCATGGGTGTCTGGCCAAGGGAGGCAATGACGAACTTGGCGCTGGGAGCATTGTACTGCTTGCGAAGGGTCTTGATCAGCTGGACAAGGTTGGTTTCATAGCGCTCCGCGAGGCCGCCGTCGTATCTGTCACGGTCTCCCTGCCACCAGAAGAAACCAGCGATTTCGTAATCCTTCTCTTCTGGCATGTATGCTGAGAAGTTACTGAGAATGAATGACATGCGCTCTGTGTCTCCGTCGTACTGCTCACCCGCAAACCAACCCATCGGTTTGGGCTTGGTTCCCTTTGCCCACTTTTCGGGAGAATCATGATAGCCAGCATACGTCCACTGGTTTCCTTTGCTGTCCGTGTAGTCCCATTCTTCAGATCCTGGTGGGAGCAGATCCCAACCCAGTGCTCTGTAGAAAAACATATCACACGTTCAAAGTCATAACTTTTGTAAGTCGTCCACGTACAGGAATGCCAGCAACTAATGTGTTACTTAGCGCAAACAGCAGAACCAATAGAATTGTTGGGTAAAAGGTGTTGCATTAGTTAATGCACCTTAGAGTTTCATGCTAAGAGCCACCACCAGATAGCAAGTGTTAGTCCTTGGTACATGTACATGGTGTTGGTCATACATGGATCTACGTGGTAAAGGGAAAATGTGGTGCTGAGGTGCAGTGGTCCTTGCTGTTGTATTGTACGTGACCGGATCACTGCACTGGGCATGAACATCAGAGTTGCAACGAACTATCGTCGATCCGCTATTGTACTGTACAGAAGATAGTCTGCCTTGGCGCCATCTGGGCACTCTCACACGGGCTGGGCGCATCCTCTTGAGAAAGGGCGGTACAAACTTGAAAGGCAGTCGATGAACGCGAACACAGAATATTAGTATTTACCTGTTTCCAATGCAGCCCTTCAGGATCATGACTTTAGGCTTTGAGAAATTTCCCACGAAGTTTCCAATGCCTAACTCAGGTCCAATGGTTTTGCCAGTGACGGTCATCCATTCGTTGTGTAGCAGTTGGGATTTGGCGAACGTTGCGTTTCCGCTGCCCATGGTAAACACGTAGCGGACATCATCGCGGACGGCCCAGCTGTTGTTCTTCGCATCCCAGAGATACTCATACTTATGCTCGGTTTTGACGGCAAACCTGCACAACACAACACAACACAACACAACACAATCATTATCATGATACACTACTATACTCAGCTCTTCACAAGACCGGCGCGGAGCGGGCTGCAGGACCAATGTATTTTTTCATTTCGACCAGCATGGATAGTGTACATCGTCTGGGGGTGAGACATGGCCGTATGGGGAAGCGGCCGTACAGGGGTGCGATCCCGTCCCTCAGCACCGGGAGTACAGCTCGCTCGATTCGACTCTAATGAGTGAAGCGGACCAATGATTATGTATCGGGGAGAAGTAAAGAGATTTACAAACAAAAAAACACACGCACGTACCCGAGCGATCCGTTCACATTGTCCGGTCCGATTTTACCTTCGCCCAACATGTTGGACTGTCCCATGAGCAAGAAGACTTGGGTCTTGTCTTGTGCGTGACACGCTACTACCATGGCCGCAGCCACGATAAATGAGACGGCGCGAATCATGATGAAGAAGGCGCAGCTCCAACCAGCCAAGAAACGTTCCTCAAAGAGTTGTGAAAGCTGCCTACCTCAGCACGAATAGATATAAACAGTGTTGGGTGGCGGTGTTTCTTTTTCCTTCCCATGCATCTGCATGCCTCAAGACTGTGCCGCATGCCGCTCTGGGTCCAAGACAATCATGGTCTACTAGTAGCCAGAGTTAAGAGTGTCAACGCTGGCAGATCTACATCTTAGAGGAGGAGGAGAGGTAGATCTACTAGGTAGGTGTGTAGCGGGTCACTGACGATCGTGACAAAGATGAGAAGGCGCCATGTAGACCATGGTAGACAAGTTCAAACAGGGCACTGATTGTAGTGTGAGCATGAGTGTCCACTGTAGATCTACATTGTGTCTGGCCATGCGGACTGCGCGCGTGTACGCTGTCTAGCAAACACCGATGACGCGATGGACTGTACTTGTAAACAAAAATATCCAAACCGACTCACTTGATCACGCGATATTACTGTCTTGTCTTCTTTGGCCAGTCGTAACCACGTGATACCCAGGGCCATATGACGAATGTGCGCTGCACAAAACTCTGGCTTATTTTATGCATTTGTCATGTGCGATCTCCAACCTATTATCGATAACTTGCCCATAAAAGGAAATTTTCTGAACCCCAGCTAATGACATGTTGCTTTCCTGTCATTGGCTGACTTGGCTGACATATCATACATGGGCAGAGAAGTAATACAATCACGAACAATCATGTACATGTACTCCCAGATTCCCTATTCACCAAACCGCCATCTCTCAAGAGCCTCCAAGCTTCCTTTTTCTAAGGCAAAATGTGCACCACAATCTTCGCCATAGCCATTGGCTTTGGGCCTCTGACCCCCTCTAGGAACCATTAGCAAGATGGATGCCCGTCCAGCATTTACATGTGTGTGCTCATGTCCTCTACCCCTGATCATCCATACATCTTCTGAACTCCCATACCATTTTCCACACATCCATACATCGTCTGCACTCCCATCCTATTCTCTACACATCCTCATCTTTTACAATACTGTCTCCTCTCCATTCTGTCTTCTTTCTTTTTCACAGTAATGCCCTCTCCATTCTGTCTTCTCTCCTCTCCCTAGAAACTCTCATGGTTCGCAAGTGCGCGCGGTAACGCCCAGACCACGGGTCGGCGTTGTTGGCTTGCCTGAGAAGTTGCCTCGCCAGCACAGGTTCCTTGTTGGAGCCCCTACTCTTCCCATTATTGTCTTTACATGCTACTTCCCTCCCCTGCTCTCCCCACACGGTTGTGTCTTCAGTAAAAGAAGAGTTGTAATATTTTAAACTCGTAGTATGCGTTTTAAGGTACGCGTGTGTGTGTGTGTGTGTGTGTGTGTGTGGTGTGTGTGTGTGTGTGTGTGTGTGTGTGTGTGTGTGTGTGTGTGTGTGTGTGTGTGTGTGTGTGTGTGTGTGTGTGTGTGTGTGTGTGAAAAAGCCACTTCAATCAGCTGTGTGGTGGATACCAGGCTAAAATTAGTGGCGGCCAATTCATCAGCCTTGCAAGCTGTTGAATGGTGTAATCCCAGCACTAGTTGCTAGGTCTAACATAGTCGTTCGCTATCATTGCTTCTGCGATGGGCAGGTCTGAGGTGTGTGAGTATGTGAATATCTGTCAAATGAAAACGTGGCGAAGCACAGCGGCAAGCCAGCCTCGCTGGAAGAGTCCATTCGTGTAAATCGCCTGCGATGGCTTGGCCACCTGGTAAGAATGGATGACACCAGGTTGCCAACGCTGATCCTGTTTGCGGAGGGCACAAACGCGCGGCCCCGCCATTGACCCAAGCGTCGTTGGAGAGATATGGCAGCTTCAGACCTGCGGTCGACCGGAATCTCGGAGACGCAATGGTACCACCTAGCTCAATACCGGAGGGACTAGACTAGGCCGGCGCTTAGCCAGTGGAAGCCACCAAGGCAGCCCCAGCCAAGAGTGTTCGTCTGTGTCTGCGGCCGCGACTTTCGCCGTCCGAATGACTTATCCCGCTACTATAATTACTGTCTCGCCTGGCAGCTATCATCGCCTTTGGCGATGGGCTTTCCAAAGGTCCTTACTTCTTTCTTTTTTTTCGAAGTAGGTATGTGTACGTGTGTGTGTGCGTGCGTGTGTGTGCGTGTGTGTGCGTGTGTATGCGTGCTTGACTATGTATACGCAAACATTGCGGTTAGACACGTGTAACACAGTTTCCATATCACACAGGGATATACAGCCATGTACATGTAAACAATTGTATGTGTAGAGCTTGGCATCAGCATTCAGCAAGGAAATCCTCACGGAAAGAGGGAGAATATGAGATTTGACATACAAAATAGGGTATGCAATATACATTCATTGGGCGTGCAGGACTTGAGTTATACATTGACCTTCGTCCACCCACTTGAACAGCCCTTTCCTCAGTTCTGAACGTTTTGTTCTTGAGTTGAGATTGCACACGAAGCACAGAACTGAAGCCACTGGCAATTACTTCAATTGTCAATGCATTGAAAACAGTGATACCTTTCGCACATCCACGTACCTTTTCTGCACACACCCACTCTGCCAAAAGCCCCATTAGCCGCATCAACACGTACCCCTTGTGCCTGGCCAAAAGTTCCTAGTTGACTCTGGGCAACAGCACAGCTGGAAAAACCGCTCCCGGACAGGACTAGAGCCTGGTACCTCGTGTATCTCTACCATGGTGTTAGACCAACCCACTGTGCCTACCTGGTCAAACGAAAAGCTGATGAGGGCAATTCGAACGCCCCCTTATCTTGCTGATGTCCGATGATGTGGTGAGCTGTACCATTCGGCTTTTCAATGATCCAATATTTCTCTACTCCCCCTCCTTCATGCGCTCTTTTATCTGATTAGCTGCTACCCTCGGTAGCCATTACACACAAGAAATATTCTAACAACGAAGGGTGTCGGGCACCGGTACCTTTGACTCCTTCTGACAGCTGTTTCGCCTACGAAAAGGCTCGTCAGAGAAGGTAATACAGAATAGATTAATCTGATGGACATGGTCAGATCTTCATACAGCACAATCTGATCGGATTAAAGTATAACAGTGGCATGGGCACCGTTCCTAAAGGAACGATCGACCGTTCCTAAAGGAACGATCAACTCCAAAGGGTTAATAAGAAATTAGGACACATGCCCGTGAGGCTGCCTCGTACTGCTCTTGATATTGCATGACCCTTTTCACATGATGTGTGCACCAGTGGTGGTATGGATTGTGCTTCATCACCTTTCACGACAAGAAAAGAACGTGAGGAAAGAACTAACAAGACTAACAATATGTTATCGATGAATGTACTTCGTACAATATTGCACAATATGCTCTATTGAAACGCAGCTCTAAGCACAAGAAGAGCAACATACGTATGTATGAGTGCAGGTGTGATTGCATGGAGAAGGCGCCCACTGCCGCTGCAAGCCGAGTAGGGGGCCCGACCAGCCCAGTTACCTGCTGGTCCGTAGTTGCAGACGAGAATCAGGACCTGTGGGTACTGCCGGGGGTTGAGCGTTAAGTGTTTCGTTGACGATGTAGGGCACACATGCATGCCACATCCAACGTGTGTTGTCGTGTTCCAGACAATCTGTGTGAAGTGTCCGCACGGTCTGGCGTGGCATTGATTCGTCGACAGCGTGTAGTCGTCGATTTCGTCGTACCAGGCCTGCACTAGGTCCAACACGCTGTCACGCGTGGCCGTGCTGTACGCCAGGTTCTCGCCCACCCGAGCAAACTTCGTGGCCTGGGTGCTCCGCCGTGGGTTGTGCTCCCAGTTGCATGAACTGGCATAGCGCTGTGCAACTTGTGCCAACTCCAAACTCCAAACCAGCGGTCGCAGTTGCTGGCAGGGTGTCGGCGACACGTCCGAGCGGAGGCGGTTATGGAGTCGGAGCAGGTCGTACACCTGGGGACGACTCAATGATCCTGCAACCATTGCCACATGAGCGCCCAAGACGCAGCCCAAAAGGCAAAGCATCACTCCTCCGACCACGGTTGAGCTCATCCTGTCAGAAAGTATTTGGCAGGTTCCACGTTCACAAAATGAATGCCACCGGAGGGTGACCCTACGGCTAAGGAATTGGCCTCGCCCCCAACAAACTGATAAGACAGATGGCCCTTAGAACCTACGAGAGTCAAAAGCAAAGAGACACTCACCCCAGCTCGACTACCCTTCGAAAGAAGGAGTTGGTTAGCATTTAACAGCGAGTGTATTTAACCACATGTAGACGAAAGTTCATTGCAGTCCTTAGCAAGTGGACGTTCTTCTGACACAGCCCTGTGAAGCAGCTTCGTGCCGAGGTTATGTTTAAGACGAGAAAATACTTCACAGCGCGTGATTCACTGTGACTAAAAGTGTTGGCACGGCCATCATCTTGTTGATAAAAGTGAGCCTTACCGGTATTGCCAGCTCCTTGTACATGTATGAAAGACATAGCTACGCGGAAGGGAAGAACCCTGCGCCTATCTTCCCTGGCTCTGCAGACAGCCGTGGAAATCGTGTCGATTGGTAGCTAGTGTACAAGTGAGTTGCCGTTTATCTTTACTGCTGAAACAAACTGTGGCAATGAGACTTGTGCATACATGTACATGTAAACTACCCAGCCTGCTGCCATTTCAAGTTAGTCTGAATAGCGATTGTACAATGATGTAAGTACAAGTACAGTCAACTTCGCTTATAACGACACTCGGCGGGGCATCAGAAAAGTGTCCTTATTCGCGAAGTGTCGTTATACCCGAAGTCTCATTATAATAATTATGTGTCACAGTTGGATGGGACTTTGCTCTGGGCATGAAAATTCTGTCGTTATTCGCGAATTGTCGTTATATCCGCAGTCGTTATTAGCGAAGTTGACTGTAACATGTAGTACGTGTACCTGCATCCGTTTTTTCCTTTTTTACGTAAGTGCCTGCGTCTTTTTTTCTCTTTTCTCCGGCCTGGAAGTGCCCAATGGCTCCAATTCTCAGTGGTCAGAGGAACACCTAAAAGAGTGGTGTGACAAGTGCATGCTTTCGGCCGACCTGAGGTCCTGAGATCATTGTGAACTACACGGGTCATGTACAATCATGTAGATGACCCAGTACTGTATCATGGGGAACACGAGGAAAGGGGACTGGGAGTATGAAGACGGCTAGGCTGGGTAGGACATACATAAAATAAGAAGCGTGTGCGCAGTACAGCACCATGTTAACCCAACACAGGACCTATTAAACCATAATATTATTGTACGTGAGCGGGCGTGCGTGCGTCGTTGCCTGCAAGCATGCGTGTATCTTCGTCTGTTTATATACATGTGCGTGTGTGTGGTTGAGGGGATATGTTTGTATGGGCTTGGCATATGTTCAAGTGTTAGATTCCAAGATGGCATTAGGGTCTTTCCCCTCCGTAGGGGACCAACCACGGCCAGTTTCTGCCCGGGAAGTGAACTGCCTGAAAAAGGAAAATAATCTGACAGATTACATTGAAAGACACACGAATACGAGCTAGCTAGAGTCACTGTCCAACACTGACACTAGAGTAAGACAATAAGCAGTCAGAAAGTGCGATAACAGGGCACAAAACTGGCAGACTAATGAGACATGCAACGACCTGGTACCTACTTCAAGAAGTACATGTACCGTATATCTGTAACGCATCTTCAGTGCGCAAACCAACATCTTTCCAACTCAGTACTTGGAATGTTTGAGGTTAAATTAAGGTAAGACCAATGATGGTAGGGTGAGCACAACGAAATTGTGCACAAGCTAAGTCCTACAGCAACAGAGAATGTCGGCTGTTACAGGACGATGACGAGTCCTGTGGTCTAACTACACTTCGAAGAAGCAAAGGAACACGCCACCCAACTTGGTAAGGTCAGAACTATCAAAGGTAAATACAGAAGGGGAAGCTTTGCATTGGGTGGTGTGTTACTTTGCTGATTCGAATTGTAGTTAGACCACATTGTCAAGACATATTAACCACTGCTGTGCTATGCTACCTATGCAATTGCACTTTCACACAGCCACTAGGTACAAAGGTTTCACCGCTTGCAAAGCAGTTAATTAACTTTCATCTATTAGCAATCATTGAGGTGGTACCCATCCAATTGCACTTTGACACAGCCACTAGGTACAAAGCTTTCACCGCTTATAAAACAGTTAATAATTAAACTATCATCTACTGGCAATCAGTGAAATGGTCCCTATCAACTTCAGAACATTTGAATACTGAGCATGCTATCAAAGTAGGACATGATTCAAGGGACTTTCCAGTCTACGCAAAGCGAATAATAACCTCTTTCTAAAATGGTCAGTCTAGGGCAGGTCAGGCAACTGGCTTGTTAACGCCATTCATGTTAGCCCTTGGGCTAATCCGTCACTAACAAGCCAAAGCCTAGGACTCTCCTGCCATGCACTATTATTAGACCTGAAAATGGCTAAAATCAAAAACGCACAGATTCCATCAAAGTAGCAGAAAAGGTTTCCCGTGTGATTATTAATGTCCCTACCCTTTCGGATGATGTCACCAACCTTGTCTGCAGCATGCACCTTCAGATGATATCAGTCCTTACTTCTCAGTACACACAAGTGAGCTTATTTTACTCTTGGCATCCATTGTAATCAGGGAGTAGTAAAATATCAGCTACTACTAGTTCCTGATTGCAAGAGGTTTGTTCTGGTGCGTGCGTACACTGTACTGCACAGCACTTTTCATCAGTGGACTCTCCGCGTTTATTCGGCAGCATAGTGGACTTGGTACAAAAAAAATGGGTTGCTTTGCGGCGATATTGGTGCAAGCAGATAATTATGAGAATTCGTGTGCAAAACATCCATACCAGAACAGGCTGAAAAAAAGGAGAAACAAAAATTAATGATTGTAAAGACAGTGGGCCAGCAAACTGAGACAGTGCGAGCAATGCATATGATGAAGTCACTCTCAACAGAAAGTGGCAGGATGTGTGCATTATAAAATGCTGAAATGAAATAGAATAGAGTGCTCTGTATAACCATGATGTGATACTGAAAGTGGGGTCTGTGCAGCTGCAGATTAATAATAATAATATTCTGTAAGGATGCTTCAGAAAGAAGCGTCTTTCTACTAGGACTTTCTACCAATCAGGCTTGTAGGCCATGTGTACTTGCGAATTACTTCCAAGTAGGATAACTGTCTAAAAATACATGCATGTACATAAATTTTCTCTGTGCTCCGCTGACGAGACCACAAAGGACGAAACAGTTCTGCCCGCAGATTGAGTACATACAGACCTACATGTACATGATGGTGATGTTTCAGTAGCATTACCAAAAAATACTGGTGCACGGAAGCCAGCCACCAAGATCAGATCTAGGCTGGGTTTCCTTAACAAACATCCCAAATTGGGCAGCCAGGGAACAGAGAATGCATATAATGTTGGAGTGCAAACGCACTCTTTGCAGAATGCATGCAGAACGGAGGCTCACTGTGCAAAACATGTATTCATATGCCAAAACAGCAATGACAGGAAACCAGCACATGTCTGTTGCAAAACTTAGCTATTATTATTTTTGTACTTGTCCTGAGAGCCATCTCTGACGCTGGACTTGCATCTCACGCCATGTATGGAGTATATACATGTATGGGTACTTTATAAGCAAGACAATCGTATTGGAGCATACACCATACAAGCAATCTCCATGAGGTGCCCAGGTGACTTCTGGACCGCGGGCTGACGGCATGATCACTTTCAAAGTTTGCAAACTGGCTCATTTGTTGCTTATGGCCCTGTAGTCGCTGTGCTTTGTATGATACTGGTAAAGAGGGCAGCCACTGCAGCAGATGCAGATGATGAACGTGACGCCAATGAACAGAACCGACAAACCGACAATCAGACCTATCTCCCTGCAGAACCAGTAGAGGAAAATATCAAGGCCAGCAATCCATATTTATCATTGTTATAAATTACACAAGAGGTACACAAAACCACCTATATCATGCAGCATTCTGTTCTCGAGGTTCATGGTTCCTCGTAAAAAAAATAGAAAAAAAGAAGAAGAAAAGTCTTCTCTGCTGTAACGCAGAGCTTCATGGTTTGACAACCAATCATCACACAAGAGTGAAGGACATTCACATGTACAAGCAGAGCAGGCACCGAATTCTCCGGAGTATAAGCCGCACTTTTAAGCACTTGTAATTCACCCAAAAAAAGTCAGTACAGCCTATACTTTGATGGTCAAAGGATTGGTGATCGGGGAGTCGCACCCACACCAGGGAGGTGAACTACCCAAGGTGCGTAGATACACGAATGACCTTTCGGACTCGACTTGAAAAATAACAACATATGAGAGGCAACCCTTGAGACAAGGATTTCTGTACCGTGTCACCTCCTTGGTTTGGCCACGACTCCCTAATGGTGATACCAAGGTAGTTATCAGTATTTTACCTCAGTGTATTGTGGAGATACCTCAGTGTATTGTGGAGATACCTCAGTGTATTGTGGAGATACCTCAGTGTATTGTGGAGATACCTCAGTGTATTGTGGAGATACCTCAGTGTATTGTGGAGATACCTCAGTGTATTGTGGAGATACCTCAGTGTATTGTGAAGATACCTCAGTGTATTGTGGAGATACCTCAGTGTATTGTGGAGATACCTCAGTGTATTGTGGAGATACCTCAGTGTATTGTGGAGATACCTCAGTGTATTGTGGAGATACCTCAGTGTATTGTGGAGATACCTCAGTGTATTGTGGAGATACCTCAGTGTATGCATACTCACGTCAGCTTTTAAAATACCAAAAATCATGTTGCCTGGTGACTGCTTAGCATGAAACTCTGAGTGTAACCAGCCATTTAGAATTTTGCCTTAGAAAGCTCCAGTACCCCTGCCACTACGCAGCTGTTGAGCGCAGTTTGAGCAGTTGAAGTCAACTACAGTATGTATCTATTATAGACCGATTGATGAAGTCGATAAGCAGATCAAATATTGAATGCGGAAATGACCGGCTGGGCGAAGCCGTGGTCCTATACTAGGTATGAGACCTTTGAAATTCCACTATAGCCTTGCCATCTATCCAACTGGTGATGCACAAACAGTCCTTGACTACACTATGCAAACCAATGTTCTCCAAATTTTCACCACGGAGGGTATCATGCGGGAAACCAGGACTGATTTTGTGTTACAGGCTGGACGGCGGTTAATATAGTCCACGGCTGAAACTAGATGTTACTGTGCAGTCAGAAAGTGCAATAACGCGGCACAAAACTGACCGATGACATTGACATTCAACAACATGATGCCTAGCTTTAAGGACGTCTCCAATGCGCAAACAAACGGCCGTAACTACGTGGGAGGTTCAAGGGATAGGACCAAAGAGGGGAAGGCGGGCACAATTGAAAGGCAACAAAGAATGCCGACTGCTACAGGACAATGACGAGGCCAGTAAGTTACATGACAATGCATTGTCAGATGACTTACTAGTCTGGGCATCGCATTCTAAGAGATATCCTGCTGCCGGTGCAGCCGAGATGAATATGATGCATCAGGACCCCCGTATATAGTCCAGCACATGTGTTTGCCACATTTTAGCCATCGTCACACGCACAGGAACGAGGCAGCTGTAGACCAGAGTTGGTTGCACACTCCAGATGAGATTGTACTCTGGCTTTGTGCTTCACATACTGCATCTCTCATGCTCTACTGACTGTCAGAGGAGCCATGCATAACAGAAGATCCAGTGCCTGGGCGTGGTGGAATTTTCACGATGACCCTTGCGCAATGCCTCTACTGTAGCCCTCGCTGGATATTGCTCGAAAAGGCGGATTCTGCTCAAAAAGCAGTGAAATTGGCAGAACCGTGCGAACCTTATGGCAGGCACCTCCTTGAATTCTGCTCCATTTATTTATCCACATACCAAACATGCATGAAACAAACCAGAAAACGTACCGCATTCTGCCAATTGTTCTGCTGGCATTATCTACCAAGGGGTACTGTACTGTCTGTCATGGGTATAATCAGTGACAGTGACTACCACACACACACACACACACATACACACACACACACACACACACACACACACACACACTCACATACACACACACACACACACACACACACACACACACACACACACACACACACACTCACATACACACACACACACACACACACACACACTTGTACTTGTACTTGCTCACTGCCAAAACACACACACACACGTACACACACACACACACACACACACACACACACACACACACACACACACACACATACACACACACACACACACGAACACCTAATCATAGCCATAGTCTTACCAGGTGTCCAGTAGAATGGACTTGCAGCAGTTGGCTAGCCCGTCCACAAGGCAGCAGCTCGTGCTATCCTCATCGAACGGGTAGGACGAATCCGGGCATGTGTAGATGCTGCCATTGAAGGGGCAAATTGTCTCTAAGATCCCAGCAAGATAAAACAATTGACAATTTTTTCAAATCAAGGAAACACATTTCCAAATGTTACACAATGTGAAGACACACCAAACTGCAAGACCGTGCCAATAGCTCTATCCGAGTGCCAACCCACAAGTTGGGAATTATTCATTGGTCCCGAACTCGAGATTTCTTTCTCCGCTCATTTCGCTGTCACTCAACTTACTTGTAATTATTTGAGAAATGGGCTCCCATAGAAATGTCAATGGTGCAGTTTGAGCGAGGCATATTGCAATCGCTGGTTGGGTGAGTTCATCTGTAATATGTACTGGACAAGATGGTGTTGATGGAAGCACCGCCATGCCGACATCACTACTTACGTGCGCTGCAGGAGCCAATCGTCACAAACAGCATCAGCAGGGACATAAGCCCGACTCTGCCATGGGCACGTTGTTGGAATATTCGATAGCCAGGCATTGCTACCCTGCCACCCTGCACCCGCGTCGGTTACTGGTCCTTGCGACTAATCTCAGATCCACCGTTGTCGGTGTCCAGTTACTAGTGTTACTCCGCCACGGACGCTTCATTGATCTCCACGCCGTCCTCAGGTCGCGTATGTCCCGCGAAGAAGAAATTCCACCTGCATTTTATTCGGTGAATCCTGCAAATTGTGAGGTTTGCCACTGCTCGCTCTAGCTCTGAGTCGTGCCAAGGGATCAGTGTCGAGGATGACTGCTTCACGTTACCTGTCTGTGACTGACTTGATCTGTCCGTGATCGTGCAGTAGCCGCTCGTGTTATGTACCATCCTAGCAATGGTGAGTCATTGACGGTGGTGTAGCCTGCAGACTGTGCCTCCCTCGGCCGCTCCTCCCATACCACAAAAGAACGATATTCTACTTTCTAGCCTTTTCGGCCCATGCGTCGACCTACTATAATATACTCGATCAGTCCTTGCATGGTCCTTGGCCGCGGTGGACTCACTGGACAGTCTCTGGACTGTGCATGTGGTGGCCGTAGATTCCAGACTCAGTATGGTCACGTGATTGTAGTGTACAATGATCATGATGATTGTACTTGTAGTGTGTGGTGAAGCTATGTCTACGCAGCGACCGCAACTCACGTTACGCCGTCGGGTTTCGCCGGTATCCGGCGCCATAGCAATCGTGTGCCAGCCTCTTTTACGGGCAAAATAAGCACAAGATCGTATGAAATAGTGGTAACGACCTTGGCAGTAAGTTTATAACTTATAAGCCTGTTGTGCCCAGCGCGGGCTTGTGACTACAATAATTGTAGTCGCGTACAAGTTAGTTGTAGTTGGTTTGGAGGTGACACTGACAGCGTTGCGAATGACCGAGGGTCCTCACTCTCTGTTCTACAGTACCTATCCATGAGCGACACTGACTCACGCTGCTACATGTATGTGAGGTTCACGAGGTGTTTATCGCGCTGGAGACGGAGCGTCTCTGTAAGTTTGTATCCCTGGTGATGGTTTGGACTGGAGTGCATTTATACACGCAAGTGGTGGTCTTCAGGCACAATCTTCCTCAAGCTCAGCAGCCTACTTAAGCTCAACTGATGAGGGGTGAATTCCCCGAAAACACTATGTATGGAGCAGGCCAGTGGTGCTTTCTTGCGGGTTTGCCGAGTGGAAGGTTTGACAGACTTCTCTGGATGAAAGTCGTGAGTCAGTCTAGTGACAAGTGAGCTCCAGTTTGGGTGCAGCGTGGAAGCAACTAACTTCCCTCCTTTTTTCGACTGTTCGTGGAAAATTGTCCTGGCCGGAAGGACGATCTTATGCCGAGACCAAAGTAGCAACCAGAGAGTAGTAAAATATCGATTCGTTGTAAGGAATTCAACCTTGGTTCTTCCTCTTGACCTTAGCTCAGGCTTAGCGTGTAGTATGGAGGCTACACATATCACTCTAGCAAACAATGAAAACAAGACGTACTGGTTGACTCGACCAGTATTATTATCAAGTGGTTCGGTACTCGACACAATCAGATGTTTGAGTGAGTTTTGTCTGCAGCAGGAAAAGCTAAAGTATACCGGCCGTCTTTACATAACTGTTGCAGATGATGCACTTGTGGAAGTCACTCTCAGTCTACTGAGTAGATCTACTGTGCATGTGCGTGCGCGTGTCCATACTGCGACTCGACGAAAGTATTAAAATTTTCATTTGCCTCCACGTGACTTGGGCCAGTTGAGGCCACATATTCTGGAATCTCCGCTATCTCTCTAGTCTAGCAAGGTCCTCTTTTCATTACTCATACTCTTTAGCTGGGCCTGGATAAGTGGAGCTAGATTCGAAGCATCCGTCTGTCACGGCCAGAAGTAAGAACCATAGACATAGTGTAGGCGGTGGGGTTTACATGCGACACTGCACCTTTACTCTTATAATTAGGCTTCACAAACTATTTAAAAACGTTACTTTCCCCAATGTTCCAAGCTGGATAGAAAACACACACGGCACAGAGTAGACTGAGTGAGGTTCCTGTGTGTATGATTACTGTCACTTTGTGATACGACGCTGCCAGATCTGATGAGTGATAATGCCTATGTCACACCAGAACATAAAAATCATTGACACTGATGTGAGTGTGAAGCCTAAGCTGAAGTGTCCCCGGCCTCGGCCACGGCTTGGTGGCACAGTCAGTCAAGGTCATGGTTATTACGGTAGTAGGCATTTTTCGTGGATAACTGCTGACGCTGTGCCCCGCCGCAGCCCAGCGGCAGTGCAGTGTAGGTACTGCGTGTGGAAACTAAACGCTTCCTGCAATCGCTAGGGGTGGTTTCCTCTCACTTCAGGTGACCACGGTGAAGTACTCTCTGCCACGAGTTTCACAAACAAAGAGGAAAAGGCAAAGTGACGGTGACTGGGATTGGATCTCCAAATCATAGCTCCACCGCTTACATCAAAGTGCAGGCTGTGCAGATTCGCCTCAAAATCGAGAAGGACGAGGTACACTGAGTCTGTCGTATTCTGCGAAAGGTAAGCCAGGATTGTTTTGTGGCTGCGTTGAACATTCCCTTTCAAGATCCTATTGATTTTTGAACAACCCTCAGCTACTGAGCTAGATCATCGATGTACTTGCAATGTACCGGCCTCCGTGTGACTGCAAATATCTGCATTACAACTACGCCGGTGTAGATTGCGCGAAGCAGATCTTCATTGTGGTGTTGCTGTTACACGTGGTGCTGAGTCTGTGTGTATGATCTCAACCATTGCAGTGCGTAGAATCCCATTACAGTAGAAGGTGACAATGCAGTGGCTTTGCACACGAAAATGTGGGTTTTTTTTTGTACTATACCAGCCCGGTATTATGCTGGTAAAGGTAACAACACAGTACCGGCCAGTACAACAGTGTACACATGCAGCGGTACAGGACTAACGTCTGGACCTAAGAGTATGACACACACAATAGAACCCCCCTCCCCCCAATCCCTGCAGTTTGGGACAGAGCACCGTCCGGATCTAGGAATTGCCCGGAACTCAGAACATACATACTAACTGCAAATAAGTAAACATATTTTATGCCCATCAATACTGGTAGTGGCCAGGCACAGGGGGTACATGGATGCGGCTAATGGGGTCTTTCTGGGCACTTGTTCCAGTGGTTGTGAGACTTATCCACTCACCCCCGCCGTTAGGCGCTGCATCTGCCGCTAGGGTTTACTGGGTGTTAGCGGGCGCCGTGAGTTCCCTTCAGGAACGGACACGATAATTTACTTTTTAATAGTTCTTGGGGGCATTTTTCAAGTCTTTGAAACGTGACCCAATTTTTGTGACCATCTACATGTAGATGTAGATGGGTCAGAACTGTGTCTGGTAGACGCATGTGCACGGATTAAAAAAAGTAAATTATCGTGTCCGTTCCCGAAGGGAACTCACGACATCCGCTAACACCCGGAAAACCCTAGCGGCAGATGCAGCGCCTAACGGTGGGGGTGAGTGGATAAGTCTCACAACCACTGGCACAAGTGCCGAGAACGACCCCATTAGCTGCATCCATGGATTGCGAGAATGTTACCGTGCATGTACCGTATTTTCCGGAGTATAAGCCGCACCCCCATTTTCTTGTCACGAAATACAGACATCCACCCTATTTACCACCATGAATTTTGATCATCGGAGTAAAAGCTGCAACGTCTTTTTTTGGGGGGGGGGGATTTTGAGTGTTCAAAGTGCGGCTTATACTCCGGAAAATACTGGGTAACTCACGTGTGCCTGCTCTCTATCCTATGCCTCCGTGGGGCAAAGTACTGCATGGCACAGTGAGAAATACATCCACACCTGTGTGTGTGCCGGGGTATGTGCTTTGTTGATGAAAAACTAAAAGACAAGCTCTGACAACAGTCCATCCGTCTGGAAGGTCAGCACTGGCTCCTGACTTGCTCCGACCACATGTGTTGTGTTTTCACCACAAGGCACTTTTGCCATCACTATCTCCCTCACCTTCACAGTTGAAATAATTCTATCATGTACAGTCCCACTAAATGAAACTCGACAACATGAGCCAAGTACATGTTGTGGGCGCTGTTGCAGCCCTAGACCTACAAATACTGGCATTTGAAATGTGCCAGGGCACACACCTTGCAGCGTCCGCTTTCATTGAGCAGCGCAGAGTGCTACATCTGGGTCATTAGGCATCTACCCCCCCCCCCCCCCCCTTAGCACTTTATTGCCCATACGTCAAGAAATGCTCCAATGGGTTTGATGGTGTAGGCATTTTCAAATAATTGCAACTCAGTTGAATCCCGGTCTTTTGGAGAGATTCAATGTGGGTCTTCGCTCAACTTGCATCTTTTCCTGCAGATGTACCACAACAATGCAAGTAAGGAAACGGCTTAGATTAGCGCTGGAAAACATCGTACTATTCCTCTTGGCAGTTGGCCTCATGACCTATGGTATACGACTTCTATTGGACGACAATGACGTTAATTCGAAAGCAACCTGGAGTCCGTTTCGACTGAAGAGATCCATAGCTGACGAGGAGCTACAGCTTATTGCAAGTAAGTGTGACCATTCCTGCATTCCTGGTGCTTTGTATCATATGTGCGTACTTCTTGCAAATATGGCGTGTTCAGTTAAACAACAGTTCAATAAGTATATCTGGCAACAACCAATACAACTGCCTTTCTATATGCAGGTGATTCATATACTAGTAGTCAGTGCCAAGTGACCCGTTTGCACACCCTATTTGTAATGCGGTGTGTGTGTATGTGTGTGTGTGTGTGTGCGCGCGTGCGCGTGTGTGTGTGTGTGTGTGTGTGTGTGCATGTGTGTGTATTTCAGAGGATGTTGCAGTGGTACGGGGAGTTTTGGACCGACGGAAAAAGATACAACAGCAGGTATATGAGGTTATGGTGTTTTTGAAATGATTTTTTGTAAAGAGCTAAGAGCCCAAGTTGCTACTTCAAGAAAAGTGCTATTTAGTAAAGAGTTGTGCATTCAAAATAGCCATTCCTTTGCGTAGGGTTGACATTCATTGGAATTGGTGGTTGAGGAGTGCTGTCTATATTGATGATGACTGCTTACTTCTTGCCTTACTGCAAGATTGTATCCATCTGAAAACCTGGGTCATACGTGTGATTGGGACATCCATTTTGTTAAAGGGGAAGTTAAGCCTAGAATCAAATTTTCACCAGTTGTAGTCTTTGGGGTGCTAAGTCGATTGGTCTTGGTCCGAGGAAGCTGAGACGCTCCATTCCTTCTTTATTCCCAACTAGCAGCACCCCCGGCCAGCGTTGCCTGGCCGAATGTGGCATGCGGGTGAAGCAAGTACATGAACAGCACACGTGCTCAGCACGTGGTGGTGGCCAGACCGCTGAAGTCCTGGTGAGGGAGGTTCTTCATCGTTGGAAGGAGAAGGAGGGACGTCTGTTACGCCTTCGGGAGGCTGGTCAGGGTTGTCCATCACCTGGTGGCGGATGAAGCGGCTCAAAAAATTCATAAACTTACGAACAAAAGTGCGATGCGCTCTTCACTGCTGATCAGATGCAGAGTGCAGTCAGTGCAGATCTTTTGTATCCTTTTGTTGCAGATGTTTCTATTTCCAGAGAACGGTTCACGTGGTCCGCAGCGCTTGTGCGGCTGCTAGTGCTACCTATGGCCTAGGCTAGGTGGCTACATGATTCGCACGCTTCGCGTGCTCAGTGCTTCTGCGCGCGGCTGCTACTGCTACTCGTACTGATCGTGTCTGCTACCTACACTGTTCGCACGCTTCGCGTGCTCAGCACGTGGTGGTGGCTACACGATTCGCACGCTTCGCGTGCTCAGTGCTTCTGTGGCTGCTTCCGCTAGCTACACGATTCGCACGCTTCGCGTGCTCAGTGCTTCTGGGGCCGGTAGCTACACTGTTCGCACGTTTCGCGTGCTCAGGGCAGCGCTGCTCCGCAGGATGGCCTGAGCGTGACACACAGACACACGTCATAGGTGCCTCTTCTTTATAAGTAAAGATTGAACTCGCGCACTTCCACCGAAACTGGGTGACTGCGCCCTACTAGATGGGGATTTGTATGCAAAATGTCACTAAATTCGCCATTTCGTTCTTATAAAAGCACGGATGACCGCGATTGGCCCATATGTTGTAGTCTTTTGGACGCTAAGTCGACTGGTTTTGGTCTGAGAATGCTGCGATGCAGCGTTCCTCCTTTATTCCCAATCGAACATGGTTGAACAAGCGGTCACGTGCTCCTGCAGTACACCAGTCACCTGGTCACCGTGCCTAGCGGCCCTAGCCTAGCGCCTGAAGGGTACAACTTACAGCCTGTTTGACCTTTTTTGGGTGCACTCCTGTCACTCGAGTTGAACTCGAGTTGAACCTTGCTGTGAAAGTTCTCGACTGCTGGCGCGGTGACCAGGTGACTTCAGTGGCACGCAGGAACACATGACCGCCTGTTCAACCATGTTCGATTGGGCATAAAGGAGGAATGCTGCATCGCAGCATTCTTGGAATTAGGGCTGAAACGATCGTGGATTTTCACGTATCGATTACTCTTTAGCTTAACGATCGAGTAATCGATTATAATCGTTAGCAAATAGTGTCATAATTCTGTGCCAACAGCACTCTGTTTCCACAAACTATGACTTCATAATACCAACAAATCTGCATTAGTGAAAGGGTAGCTCCGAAACATGGCAGTTTTGAAGTCAATTTAACCTCAGAACATAAACCATACCCCTGGCAACTGCATACTCCCAGCGGAAACTGATTCAAACTTCATAAACGAGGGTTTACAGTACTTTCTGGACACAAAAAAAACGCAAAATAATCGTAATCGGTAATCTAAACGATTGCTCGATCGTTAGAGTTATCAAACGAGTACTCGATTATTCGGTATAATCGTTTCAGCCCTAATTAAAATAAAAGAAATCACATGGAAACGAGTTATGAAGCAACTATCCACGACGGTAACAAGATACCGGTCAGAAAGTGCTCATTGGTCCTGCCATAACCTTCAACCTTTCAAGCTGGAAGGCTGTTGGTTTGCGCATTGGAGATGTGTTAGAGCTAGGTCTCAGGTCGTTGAATGTCTCAGTGGCCTCTCAGTTTCAAGTGTGCCCTGTTATCGCACTTTCTGAGTCGTGGATAGTTGCTTCATAACTCGTTTCCAGGTGATTTCTTCTATTTTAACGCTATGCTACTGAATGAATTTCTTCACGATACTCTGTTCACTCCAGCCGGTGTCCCGGCATAACTATATCAACACTGTTGAGAAACGATGCTCGCTACTGCGTCGCAGCCATGCAGATGAACAGGATGCTGATCCGCTCCAGCATATCAAACCCGGTCGCAGAGCCCTGCTCCTGGAGCACCTTCTCTACAACGATGACATGCAGGTTATCTACTGTGCTCTGCCCAAAGTAGGTGAGTCAGAGAATAGGGATTGTTCCTCGGGGGTGTTCGAGTATATATTCATGTATATGTGCTGTGGTTGTAGTCTAATTTAAAAGTTGTGCATTTTCCATGTACAGCAAAACTGGTTTAAGCGACCACCCCATGGTGCAAGCGAAAGCGGTCGTTAAAGCCAGGTGGTCTTTAGAACCAGGTCCCACAGTTTCTGTGTAGAACTGTCCGTGCCTGGAAAAACGGTTGTTAAGAGCAGGTGATCGCTAAACCCAGAGGTTGCTTACATCAGGCTTTACTGTATAGTCCTGCTCAGTGAAATACAGTCGTGTCACTCAAGCACCCGCCGGGCGTTGCGCAGCCCCAGACCTGCAAACACTGGGCTTTGAAACGGTGCAAGGAGCAGACTTGAGTGCCGCAGCTGGATTTCATTGAGCAGGACTGTAGCTGATTGCTCTTGCTGGCTAATCCTACTGTGGTGCTATTTCAACATTTTTGTAAACTTGGGCCTTCTTGACCTGACGTGTTCGGAGTGGAATTTAACTGTCATGTCCAAAAAAAGTAATAGTAAACTTCTATGTGCGATGGTGCTATGGCCAGGGTGTTCTTCATGGCATGTTGCTTGATGGTTTCGATAATTCATAGTGCGTGCTGCTCTGTTCAGCATCCCACAATTGGAGGAGCGTTCTCCTATCTCTGAGTGATAATCTGCGCCACCAGCCCACCTACTACCAAGGTGTATACAAGGACGCCAACGCCCGGCGATTCAAGTCACTAGCCGAGTTGAACAATCGAAATGAGATACGGATGCGACTGAGGACTTACTTCAAGTAAGCCCATGGACCTACCATGCTTGCATGCAGCTGCCCTGGCACAATTTTATGTACATTGTACTCAAGTATAATTGTGCTAAAGCATGCCATTGCTTGCATGCAGCTGCCCTGGCACAATTGTATTTGTAATTGTGCTATGGCATGCCATTATGATGGGGAAATGATAGGTATATAAAGGGAAATACAGGAGTCAAGAAACTCACTTGTTTCTGAAAAGAAGAATAGTTTGCCCAATAGCAGCCATCACTGCAAGGTGCTCGAATTCTCGGCTGGGCTTTTGACAGATTCTTGCTGGTACTCAAATCCTGGTATGCAATGACCAGACGGGAACTTACGTACAGCTTTCGGAGTTGTACGCTCAACACACACCTGGGCTCTGTGCTAAACACTGCATAAAATATTACATTGTTTCTGGCTTCTCTTCTGGCACTTTCTGCAGATACATGATGGTGCGAAACCCGGCGAATCGCCTTGTGTCGCTCTACCTGGACAAATTCTCGTCGCTGGCGAGAAAATCCGATTTTCGGAGCCAATTTGGCAATCGAGTGAAGCAGCAGAACAAGCTGTGGAAGAAGTATAACCCACGCCTCATGACCAACTATACACACGAGTCTGGAAGGTTTTCCTACCAGGAGGTAATGCGCTTCATTGCCAGCCAGAGGCCCGTGGCTCGAAATGAACACTGGGTTCCCATGAACGACCTCTGCCGACCGTGCGACATCCGCTACGACTTCATCGGCAAGATCGAGGAGGCGCCCAACAGCTCTGCAAGTATGATGGAGGCGATCGGCCTCCCGAGCACGGTGGCATTTCCGGGCAGGGACTCGCAGGTTTCGTACCACCACAAGGCCGTGGATGATAAGATGGTGCAGGAGATGAACTCTCTGCTCATTCCCGCTGAGTACATGGCCGTCCACGACGTCTATGCTGCCGACTACCTAATCTTCGACTACAAGAGATCGCCGTACCTTTCGTGGAAAACTAATCCAACCTGACCTGAACTACCGTCAGCCATGCTAAGTCTGATTGATGGGCTTAGTCTGGAAAGCAATTATCTGTATTTATTCTGAAGAAATAATCCTTCTAAAATATTGTACTTTGAAAGTACAGTAATGAGAGAACTTCAAATTCAATGTAAGCTAGGTCCCAGGTTCGATGTCTGGTGGAGGTGGTATTGCTTGTCATGGACCATGTATTTTGAGGGAGTTGAAACTCATTTCATCATAATACACATGATTAATTCCAAGTCTCTCTCTGACCTTTTCTTTGGCAGAGTCAAACTCAGGAATTGCACGTTGTGAACCAAGGGACTAGCACAGGTCCCATTTCCTTTAAAATTGAAGTGTGATATTTTTAAAAGCTGCTGTATGTCACATACGAGAGAGGGTGTACACTGTCATATTTCTTCTCAGGATTGCATTCCAGGTGATTGCAGCACTGTATGCCGCAACATGTAGACAGCTAAGTAAGGGTCTTATCCACCTCTTCTCTACTGGGTACCTGTCCTAGGACAAAGTGATGCAGTTTGCTCTGTTGAAACCCGTCAGCGTAAGTGCAATCTCAGTGTCATTGGTATGATTGCTTTCATACTCTGTGTATTTGCACCCCTAACTAAGTTGCGCCAATCTTTGTACCTGTACAGCTGTGGGTGGGTGTGGCGGGTAGTTTAAAATAGAAATCAATTATTTGAAGAATGCAACCTGCACCGGCACCTTATACTTGTAGGTGGTTGCAGTGGCTGCAACATGACTGCATTCAACTCTTCACTCATCATGAAAGATAAACCTGTTTTTGTAACGTTCTAATCTAGGCTTAAATGTAATAGACTGTAGTTAGCTACAGTCACTCAGTTTGTTACAAAGCCATGGAGGTGAGACTGTCAGATATTATTAGGCTAGCCCATTACACATACACACACACACTGCAACACTCAGACTCACAAACACACACACACACACACACACACACACTCAGACTCACAAACACACACACACCGGCACACACACACACTGCCACACTCAGACTCACAAACACACACACACACACCGGCACACACACACACACACACACACACACACTGCCACCGGCAGACACACACACACACACACACACACACACGAATGTTGAGATGATTGGGAGATGAAGTCAGGGGAAAGTGGCATGCACTGGCAAGTGTCTGTTAATTCATTGTATCCAAACACTAGAACAGTCAATAGTGCTTCATTGATTTCCATGTAGTGCAGTGCATATTCAAACCGCCCAAATAAAGTGCTGTCCTTGAGACAGTATGCAAATGATGTCGTCTGGCATGCACAGTTCACATGGCTCTCAAAACAAACCACCTGTACAGGCTGTGATATTGCTACAAGTGCTGCATGATGTCGAACATGGATGGGGACAAAGAATTTGAAGTATTACTTATTAGTTCCAGTACTACCATGCTACTACTAGATAGTTTGCATAGAGTGCACAGACTTCGGCCCAGAGCCTAGCATATCATGTCCACACAAACTATCGACTCACCCTCCCTTCTCTATGTACATGTATGCCATGCTGTCATGATATTAGTACAAAATGAAACTAGTGGGCAGAGAAGGAAGGAGAAACTGTTCCAGCCAGAAGCTCATGCTCAATGCAGAACTGACATTACGGTAACTTGCAAACTAAGTACCTGACATGTACAGTGTATGTAAACAAGGGGCATTCTCAAAAATTGGCCGTGCAGCAGCATTATACTCCCCCCCCCCCCCCTCCCCTCCCCCTCCCAGCATTCTTTCTACAAGTATTTCCAAAGAAGTACTGTACATGCAGGTCAGCTTTACAAAACACATCAGTGTAGATCTACATTATACATGTACATATGTACATGCAAAGTTGTACTAGAAAGTCATTGTGAACTCCATTGGTGAGCCAATCAGTTTATTCGCGGAGATGAGGAAGGAGAACAAACATGGCAGGTTAATGATAACTCGTAACATTATAATAATATTATTATGTTCTTCCTCTTGCCGCAACTCTTTGCAATGACATTACAATAAGTTTATGTACTGGGCGTGGGATATTGTCATTACTAGTACAATGTACTTTGCCTCCAAGAGGTAACTGTTATGTGTGTGTGTGTTCGTGTGTGTGTACGTGTGTGTGTGTGTGTGTGTGTGTGTGTGCATTGTTATGTGTTATGTTATGTGTGTGCTTGGTACAGTAGAGGTTGGTTGCATTTTTGAGTGCTCTGACCTCAAGTCGTTTGTGTCACGTAACACAGCCCTGTCCGTGTGGTGTAGACCAGGGCAGGGCTGTGGTGACCTCCGCCAGTGGCCTTGCAAGCTACTGCGGAGTTGTTGTTGCGCACTCACTGCACAAGTAGTCGGAAAGTTCATTTTGAGAATTTCGAAAATTTGAATTTGGAATGGTGAGGAGGACGACGACGAAGTCCAACCAGACAGAGAGGAGAAAGGAAGGACGTGGTGGTGGTGGACGTGGAGCTGCTCTCGCTTTCGCGACGTGGAATGTTCGTTCCCTTGTCGAGGACTCTGGAGACGAGCGGATCTGCAGAAAGCGGCAAAATAATAATTTGTCGATCGATCGTAAATTGGATTTCTTGGTCGCGGAGTTTCGGAGATATGGGATTGCTATCGCTGCGATCCAAGAGACAAAGTGGTTCGAGTCCGATGTCTGGAGAGCTGATGGATATACGTTCTTGCACTCAGGTCGTCGTCTACCAAATGGCGATGGTCCTGCGCGTAGGAACGAAGGTGTTGGAATTATGCTGAACCCAGGGATGACGGAGGCTTGGAGACGTGCTGGTGAGCAGTGGACCGCTGTAAGTTCGAGATTGGTTGTGGCCCGTCTCAAGCTCGCGGAGGCGGGGGAACTTCGAGTGCATGGCGAATGGCAGAGAAGGAATGATTTGTATGTGACAGTTGTGAGTGCGTACGCACCAACCAGTAAAGCTACTGCACCCGTCAAAGATCATTTCTTTACAGATTTGCAGAGGGTGGTCGATGGTGTGCCAGCCAGTGATGTTCTGTTGCTGCTTGGTGACTTCAATGCTAGAGTTGGCAGCAGCAATGACGCAGGAGACGAATGGAGGGCTGTGTTGGGGAGATACGGTCACGGTGCGCGGAATGATGCTGGTGAGCGGCTTCTGATGTGGTGTGCTACCAACGGGCTGTCTGTAATGAACACCCATTTCCAGAAACCTGCGTCGAGGCGTGGGACCTGGATGCACCCAGCTACGAAGCAAACCCATCTCATAGATTTTATCATCATGAGGCAGCCACACCGTCGCTTTTGTCTTGATGTCAGCGTAATGCGAGGTGCCAACTGTTGGACAGACCACCACATGGTTCGCAGCAGGATTCTACTTGATCGTCCATTGTGCCGCAGGCCTCGCCCTGTGCCGAAACCCGCACCTGTTGCTGTCGGAAAGCTGGGTGACCCGGCCGTTCGCAAGAGCTTTGCTGAACAAATTTCAGACAAGCTCCCTGATACTGCTGATGCGGACACTGCAGCTGACCAATGGCAAGCGGTGAAGGATATAATGTGCAGTACAGCAGAGGATGTCCTGGGACCACGGCAACGCAGGCAACCCGACTGGTTTAAGGCGAGTGAGACTGTGCTTCTTCCGCTGATTGATATCAAGAATTCCGCTGGAGATGTCATGTTGCAGAAGAACACCGCGTCTTCACGCAAGAACTTTCGTCAGACACAACGTGAGGTGGAGAAGGCTGTAAGGAGTGCCAAGGAAACTTGGATTGAAGACATCGCATCCCAAGCTGAAAATGCTGCTAACAATTGTTCTGTTCGTTGGGCTGCAGTCCGCAAGTTGCAGACGCTCCATCAAGGCCGCCGTCCAATGCAGCCGTCTGCTGTGTATTTGGAAGATGGCACGTTGAGTGATGGACCCGAGGCTGTCAGTGGAAGATGGCTGCAGCACTTTCAGGGTGTCCTGAACGTTGAGAGTGAGTTTGACGCAGCTGTGGTCGAGATGATGGCGGATCGCCCTGTTATTCCTGAGCTGGACCAGCCACCCACTGCTGCTGAGCTGGAGGCTGCACTGCGGACCATGAAAGCGGGTAAAGCTGGCGGTCAGTCGGGCATTCTACCGGACATGGTCTTACATGGTGGCAAAGACCTACACAGTCGCATCCTGACCATCATGCGTAAATCCTGGCTCGAAGGCACTGTAGTCGATGATTGGCGTGATGCAGTGGTTGTGCCCATCCCCAAGAAGGGAGATCTACACCACTGTGATAACTGGCGCGGCATCAGTCTGTTGGACGTTGTCGGCAAGCTGCTTGCCCGTATTCTGCAGGACCGCCTCAAAGCTATCGCTGAAAATGTCTTGCCAGACTCTCAGTGCGGCTTCAGAAAGGGACGTGGCTGCGTCGATATGGTGTACGTCGCACGGCAGTTGATGGAGAAGACGTTGGAGCATGATTCAGATGCATATGTCCTGTTCGTCGATCTGAGAAAGGCGTATGACAGTATCCCGCGTGCAGCGCTGTGGCAGGTTCTCCAAAAGCTTGGTGTTCCGCCGGCAATGCTCCGCATCATTCAGTCACTCCACAACGGCATGACTGCTTCTGTTCGGGTGGATGGCAAGCTGACTGACCCGATAACTGTGCGGAATGGATTGCGTCAGGGCTGCACTCTCGCACCAATGCTCTTCAATTTGTACTTCTCTGCCGTCGTTGCCAGTTGGAGGTCCAGTTGTCCGGACGCTGGCATATGCTTTCGATATAAAGTCGGGAGGAAGCTAGTAGGTGACCGAACGGCGAAGGGCAAGCTTCTGTCATCAACGGTCACAGAATCCCAGTTTGCTGACGACGCTGCACTCTACGCAACATCTCGGCCTGCCTTCGAAGCGATGACTTCCAGCTTCATCACATGCGCAAGCAGCTGGGGCCTGACGGTCAGTGTGAGAAAGACCAAGGGTATGGCTGTGGGTGAGTCTGCTGATCGCCGTGACGTTGTTGTTGGAGCAGACACGATTGAGGTGGTGGACCAATTCATCTACCTTGGCAGTGTGCTCTCCTCGGATGGTCTTGCCTGTGCTGATGTCCGCTCTCGCCTTGCGAAAGCCTCAGCTGTGTTCGGAGCCCTCAAAGCTCCTGTCTTTGATAACCAGACCCTGTCGCTTCGCAGCAAGAGGCGTGTCTATGAGGCTGTCGTCCTCACGACCCTCTTGTATGGTGCGGAGACGTGGACCACCAAGGCAGGCCACCTCCAGAAGCTAAACACGTTTCACCATCAGTGTGTTCGGTCCATTGTGGGTATCGGCCGTCGTCAACAGTGGGATGATCGGATCTCAACGGCCACATTAGCAGCTACATTCGGTGTTGACCCTGATATCACCCGCATCATTCGTCGCCACCGGCTTCGTTGGCTGGGTCACGTCGGCAGGATGGACGACTCACGCGCACCGAAGCAATTGCTGTTCGGCGAGCTGCCTGCCCCCCGTCCTCGTCACGGCCCGAAGAAGAGGTGGCGAGATGTGGTATCGACTGACCTGGCGGACCTCGGCGTGACCACCTGGCTTGAGAGTTGCCAAGATCGTCCCGGCTGGAGACGAGTTGCGAGTAGCACCCCACCGCCACGGCCCGCTCCTGATCCTCTTCTATGTGTCTGTGGACGCCCATTTCGTCGACCAGGAGACCTGAAACGACATGCCAAGTTCTGCGCTCGTGTTCTCACTTGAACTTTCCGACATTCGCTATCATTGCTTACGCAATGGGCAAGATCAAGGTCAAGGTCAAGGTGTGCATTGCCCAGCGGAAGTTGCCTGTGTCACAACAGAAGGGTGCCAGGCAATGTATGAAGTGCATGCGGTGGTTGAGGAGCGCTGGAGGACTGGCTGTGCATCGCTGTCCTGTGTCCACGGATGTCCCCACTGTATCCATTCGCCATGAATCTGACTCTTTGCGATGTGATGTTTGTCGCCGCTCTTTCCGCTCTCGTTCTGGTTTGAGCCGTCATCACTGTGACCGTGCGAAACGGATGTCACGTGCAGCCAGGAACAACTGCCGTCATGAATGCGAGCATTGCGAAAGACGGTTCTCAAGGCCACAGGACTTGCAACGCCATGCCAAATATTGTTGACTTTGCGATTTCTCTCTCTTCTCTTCTCTCTTCTTGTCGTTGTCTCCCGCTTCTGGGAGCGGCGTGGCCCGATAGGGTAGCTGTACATAGTAGTAGTAGTAGTAGTGTGTGTGATGTGTGTGTGTGTGTGTGTGTGTGTGTGTGTGTGTGTGTGTGTGTGTGTGTGTGTGTGTGTGTGTGTGTGTGTGTGTGTGTGTGTGTGTGTGTAGGGTGCAATCTGTAGACCGATTCAGCTGTGGCCTGGGCGGAAATACCATACTTGAATGATGCATAGACACTTCAGTTCATATGAATGTGCTGTGATTGCGGGCATTGCCAGCAGGGAGTCGAAAAAATACATTGAATGGTATTTTACGACTCCCTGCATTTTACTCTTAGTCTTAGCATAATATTATCATTATGTACAGTACAGGCAAGCAGGGTCTTGCCTGGCCAAGCAGGTCTGCAAGTGCACACAGAAGGAAGGGGGAAAGATACTCGGCGATGTTACGCTCAGGAGCACTGGGGGACCAGGGTTACTACCCTAGGCCTAGTGATACAGACATTGTGCACTTCCGGCATTTTATTATGCTCATACCGGGTGATCATGACATTAATACCGGCATGTTTCACAGTTCCAGATGTGTGGTGGGTATCAGTCGCGTAAATGTGCCCTATTTGGCCTCTTTCAAGTCTTTGCAGCATAATTTTCTCCACTAGACCATGTACCACTGACCTCAAACAGCGACACGATGTCAGCTCGTGGCCTGCACATCACCTACAATTAAGAAGACAGAGAGAGTATCACACTACCACCTACCAGGCACTGGCAGCAGGCCTGCGGCAGACCCAGGCAGATGCCCAGGCACAGGTACTTGAGAAGGGTTTAGGCACAAGTAGATCTACTAGTAGTACTACATAGTCGGTAGGTCTACATCGATGGTTGTAGTACAGTGGTCTACATCGATGGTTGTAGTACAGTGGTGCGACAGCTGAGCTAGCACTGGACCAGGGTGTGACATAGATCAAAGTAAGTTGCGTTGAGGGGTTTCCTCTTTGAAATACCTTTGCTTCCAGGTTCGCACCACTCCAGAAGCCTCTTGTCCGTCCAATTCAGCACCGCCACTCGCGTAGATCCACGCCGCACACGAATGCTCCGTTGATTCGGGACGATTCACCTCGGCCCGTTGGCTCTGCAGTGCTGTCATGTGTCCGGACGTTTCCATTCCTCCGGGTAACACTTTATTACAGCGCCTCGTGGCTCTGCGGCAGATCGAATCGACAAGTGGCAGGCGCATCTATCTCTACGCATAAACAAAGTCAGTTTGTGAAAATAGTCTAGAAGTGTAGTGGAGACCGCTCGGTGGCTGGCTGTACAGGACCGCTCGCCTTTACTCTGGCTTTAGCCTAGGTTTTATCGGCAACATGGACGCCGACTAACCTTGTGCGATCACTATTGCAAGTGTTGGGATACAGCAAGAACGTTATTCAACTCACTTGGACAGGTACTCAATAGTGTCGCACTGCGGTGTAGATCGACTGCGGACCGAAAAGAGAGAATTAAATTTTACTTACCTGCCCAACTAACTTCCCAATGCCACTGTCCCGGAACCTAGCATGTTGTGTAGCTGCTCCTTGCCGAAGTGCGGACAATGTTGCCCCCCAGCGACGGAATGAAGCAACACAGGCTTCTCTTGCTGACATATCTACTATCGGTTGTGTTCTGCCTGCTGTCTGGATTTCAGGCGTTCTCCACATTTCGTCTGGACGGTGAACGCCGCGCCAGGATTGTCAAAAGATCGCTGTTCAGTGTTGCGGCCCTGGCCCAGGAACAAAACCGTAACGTGACAGAGGCAGTACACAGTATTGCACTGGTGCGAGTAGGTCCGCCAATCGCCCGCACTGGCCCAGTACCCGCTGCAACAAGTCCACTGCCTTCGCACAGTAGATCTACCGTTGGTCTGGTGAAAGGTGGCGAGTCAACCGCAGGGCAAGCTTTGCTGGATGACCATGACCACGATGATTCGGAAGAGCTGACAGAAACTGCTCAAGATGTCCTCCTCTATCGTCAACAATTAGAGTACCGTGAGTAATGCGACACCATCGTTGTACATTGTAAATAAATAATGTTCGCCATTTCGGATGGGGTTAAGCGAACAGTTCTGCCAACGATTATCATTATCATAGATATCCACAGCGTCCAATCAGGCGCTGTATTATCATAGATATCCGCAGCGTCCAATCAAGCGCTGTATGACGCTCTGCTGTCATCATTATAGAGGTTACGCGAATGATTTCAATTGGTATGGGGTGAGTCAGCGGATTTTCTAATGGGCACTAAGTATACAGCATGAGTCAGCGGATTTCACAGGTATGCTGGTTAGTAGGTCAGAAGATGGTGTCGTTTATTCACGAGTTGTTCTCACACCTCAAGGTTGTTGTTATTCATTAGTTTGACTGTACAGAGGCCACCATCTGAAGTGGAAGCAAATTTTTGAGCTCCGCAGTTTTTCAGTCTCTGGCAGCCCGTCGGCGTGGCCAAGAGGACCACTAGCAGTATTAGTTAGTTAGTATCGTGTAGTAGGGCTGACCCACCTCTGGCGGCCATGCCCCCAGCTACAAAGGCCGCCCTCAAGGGGCTCTCAGAGGTAGAGACAAAACTGTTGTGCTCCCTCCCGGGTATCGAGTCGTCTGTGATTGAGGTTATCAAGACCCTGGCGAACTTAGCGTCCGAGTCGGCCGATCGCGAGGATCGCCTCAACAAAAGAATCAATGACCTGTCGCGGCAAGTGTCAGGCCTGACTCAGGAAGTTGTCTCCCTCAAGGAAGCCGCCATTGCCAAGGCAAGTGTTCTCCCAAATATTCAAGCTCCTCAGCAGAGCCAGCGTACGAAGAGTAGATCTACGAAATCGTCAAGAAATCGTACCCGTACCCGCACAGGCCAGGCTGCCGCGTGCACTGCTAGTACGGGTGAGCCCCGTAGCGTGGGTGACACTGGCAGTGACCCTGAGGCGTCCGGTGAGGAAGACAGTAATTCTGAGATCATTGACATTGGCATTGAGGGCCCCTACAGCAGGAGCGCTAAACATCGCTCCAAGCCAGTCCTGGAGGTCTTAGACGACGACAGCTGGCAACTGGTGTCAGGAGAGCCTCCCAGGTCCAGGAGGGCAGTTTTGTATGTAGGCAATTTAAGCTCAAGCTGTACTGAGGAGGGACTGAAATGCTTCACCCGCCAGCGTACAGTTGCAGCAGGGGGTGCGGCAACGGTGCACACTTGCAGCCTCCACACCACGGAGGCAGGAAGAGTGTCTGCCCACCTAACTGTGGACGCTAAGGACCTCACCCTGGTCACAACTGAGAATTTCTGGCCAAGGCCCCTGTACGCGAGGCCATGGCGATTTAAGGAACGCACTGAGCAGCAATCCAAATGATTCCCCCAAGCCGAACGCTCCTGCTGACAAATGCCTTCGGACTGCAATCCAAACTTGGTGAGTTCCAGCACACTGATGAATTGTCTGGTGCCCTCAAGGGATCGTCCAGCATGCACGATGCCCAGTAGCCAACCAACGATGTTCAGACTCTTGGTGACAAATGCCTTTGGCCTATCGTCCAAGCTTGCAGAATTCCGCCACACCCTCCAGACCCTGAAGCCAGATATAGCAGTAGTCACAGAGACAAAATTTACGCCAGAGAAGTGCAGCGACTCTGAAGCAGCCATGCCTGGCTATCACACCCCCATCCGCAAGGATCGCTCTGCACACGGTGGTGGAGTAGCAGTCTGGGTGAAGGCTGGCCTAGGATATGAACATCTTGATCACATCCAGTGCCATGATCACGAGATCATCTGGCTGAGTGTCACGACGCAGAGTGGACAGAAAGTTGTTATCTGTGCAGCCTATCGGCCCGGGTCCTGTTCGGAGACAGATCTCTAGCTATTGGAATACTTGGACAACACGCTGGAGGCATCCCGTACCTACGGATCAAATGTCATTGTGACCGGCGACTTCAATGTGCATAACGCTGCCTGGCTCTGCAGCAACAAGACCACCTGAGCTGGAGAGTATGCAGAGGATATCTGCTGCTACCATGGCCTGAGTCAACATGTCGACGTACCCACCCGAGGTGATAACACCCTGGACCTGGTGATGTCTGATTTCCCTTCACCAGCAACTGTTAAGGCACACCCGCCTATTGGACTCTCTGATCATGCTGTCCTCCAAGTTGACTTTCCTGTGAAGCTCACCCGTGAGCCCAAGACATCGCGTAGAGTCTGGCGATACCACCGCGCAGACTGGGAGCGGCTTGCCCACTTCTACCGAACAACAGACTGGGAGAGCATGCTCGGACCTGAACCGGATCTCAGCTGCGACAACATCACCAAGAGGATCCTCGAAGGAATGGCACAATTCATACCCAACAGAGTTATCTCATCGCGCCCCTCCGACGAACCTTGGTGGACACCGGAGTGTACAGCTGCAGTCAACACCAAGCGACAGATGTGGCACCAGATGCGCTCAAATCCCGACAGTGCTGATAAGAAAGCACACTACCGCACAGCTGCAGCCTCTGCACGCAGTACCATCCAGCGAAACAGAGAACGGCATATTACCATGCTCCGGCAGAAACTCACCACTGGTAGCCTTCGGGACAAGGAATGGTGGTCCACTATCAAGCGTGCGGGTGGCAAGGGCCGCAGCGCTGATATACCAACACTCCGATCTGCTGATGGAACTGAGTACACAACCAGTCAGGAGAAGGCCAAGTGCCTTGGTCAGTACTTCGCCGATAAGTGCAGCCTCGGCCCACAGGACTTCAATGAGGAATCTGAATTCCCCTTTGTCCAGCCTCGCTCCCAAAGCCGTCTCCTAAGTATTCGCTTCCGCCCTGCTGAGGTCTGTAAATTGCTGAGGGCCCTTGATCCTTCGAAAGCGTCAGGCCCTGATGCAGTTCCGGGCAGAGTCCTCAAAGCCAACGCTGAGCACCTTGCAGTGCCACTATGCTTGCTCTTCCGCCAGTGCATGACGTCGGGGACACAACCACAGTCTTGGAAAGTGGCAAGTGTCGTCCCAGTCCATAAGAAACGGTCAAAGTCAGCCCCATCGAACTATCGGCCCATTTCCCTCCTGTCGCTCATCTCCAAGACAATGGAAGCAGTTGTTAACCGTGCTCTCACCAACTTTCTCGAACGAAATAATATACTCTCAAACCACCAGTTCGGTTTTCGTCGAGGGTTAGGACCTGCTGATCTCCTAACAGGACTACACCACCAATGGAGCAAGATAGCAGCTGCTGGCGGTGCTGTACGTATTGTTGCCGTCGACATTGCGGGGGCCTTCGATAAAGTCTCCCACGCAGGTGTCCTTCACAAGGCAAAGGCTTACGGAGTGTCCGGGAACCTCCTCAAGTGGCTCCACAGCTACCTGGCGGATAGACGAATCCAGGCCGTTGTGAGTGGACAAACCTCACCTAAATTCCGAATCAGCTCAGGTGTGCCGCAAGGGAGCATACTGGGCCCCACTCTGTTCCTCCTATATGTCAATGACATGGAGGACCACCTCCCAGCCACAACCCAGCTCGCCATATATGCAGATGACACCACGCTTTATCAGTGCATCCCATCCCTGACCGCTCTCCCAGTTGGCCTAGCGCAGCTCCAGACTGCTGTGGATGCCTTAGCTGAATGGGGCCAGAGCTGGAAGATCGCATTCGAGCCGACAAAGTCGCAAGTCTTGACAATTTCGCATCACCGTCAACCCTAGCCGATTCCTCCAGCCACTTTCAATGGGGTGGCCATAGAGGAAGTGGAGGAGCTGAAGTTGCTCGGAGTGCTCTTTGATCGGAGCCTCTCCTTTCGCTCCCACATTCGACGGGTTGCAGTCCGTGGTCACCAACGTCTTGGCTTCATGAGGAAGGCCCTGCCCATTCTCGACAGCAAGGCCAAGTATGCAGTGTATCGCGGCTTCGTCCGCCCAGTGCTTGAGTACTGCCCGCTTCATGGTTGGGTGCGTCCCAGTCTACCCTGAACCAGCTGGACCGGGTACAGCATCGAGCCCTAAAGCTCATCGGCCCAGGGTCATACCTCCCAAGCCTCACTGTTCGGCGTCAAGTCGCAGCACTCACATTCCTGTACAAGCTGCATTGGATCGACGGTCCCCCAATCCTGACCACCATGACACCACCGAGGGCAGTTGCAAACCAGCACCGGCGCTCCACTCGCCACCAGCAAAAGAACCAGCACCAGCACCAACTAGCACCGACACTGCCCGCCGGAGCCCGTAATAGTGCTCTCCGATCATTCCCCCATGCCACGATCCAAGACTGGAATCGTCTCCCATCTGCCCTGCTACGCAACCTTCCCACGCAGAAGGGAATGCAGGCATTCAAGGAAGGCGCCTACAAGTCGCTCCGCAGCCGAGACTGGCGTTCAGCCACAGATGCCCTCTGAACACTCCCTGAACACCCTCTCTGCTTGCACCCTGGCTCCCCCCTTTTTATTTTTTTTATTTTTTATTATTTTATTTATTTTTTATTTTTTATTTTCTTCCTCTATCACATGTATCATCTTTCCGTTTTTCCTTCCTCTATATAAATGTACCCCCCCCCCCTCCCCCTGTGCCTACTCCTCCCCAGTTTTTGGTGCTCTGAAGTGTCGCTGAAGCCGAGACCTCAGGTCGGCGGAGATGCTCAGTTTTCACCACCACAGTTGCGTCTGCAACCACCTCTACCATGCAGTATTCTGTTCTCGAGGTTCGTGGTTTCTCGTAAAAAAAAAACTAAAAAAAACAAAAACAAAAAAAAACAGTCATGTACGGTGCTGGCAACTGAAATCCGACCCCTGAGCGGTGGGTTCACATTCTAGCAGTCTCTGTTTTGCAGTTTTACCATCCCGTGTTGGGTCTTTGGGATGTGAGCTCAGGCAGGGGTCGGATTTCAGTTGCCAGCACTGTCCTGATGTAGATGCCAGGTTGATGCAGTAAAAGTATACAATGTCTGTGTATGTGTCTATTTAGAGTTCGATGTGTTTGCAACTAATACCGGTATTCAGGTAAGCGCTATTCAACTGTGAACTTCCTTGTCATCTTCGAATGTTTGTGTGAATACTTGTAAACTGTCCAGGACTTCGCGAGCTGCAGGAAATTGAGATAACTTCAGATTCGTTTGGGGAGCTTTCTGAGCACCAGCTGCTCGGGTACCATCAGCGCCGCAGGCCAACGAGTAAGGTCACAGGTTAATGTTCCCCATCCCCACCCCTATTCTTAGGTTGTGTGTTGTAGGTCACGGTCCATAATGGGAATCACCGGGAATCATTCTTGCTCGTTGGCTTGGTCAGGTGATTCTCATTCCAGATTGGTTGTCATTTACATTCCGAACTTGCCCAACCAAACGCAACCTTAGGTTTATCATGGAGTTTTGCAAGGCTAGAAAAACGGTGTGTTGAGAATTTGGTGGGCCACAAGAGTCCAGGCTTGCAATACATCAGTCGCAAACCGCCTGCACGTTTAACCTCTGAGGCCCCACACAGCACAAGATGCAAGCATCGAATCAGACACTAGAACAGCACAAGTCATTCATCCGAACATGACTGAAGTGCTTCGAAGTAGGGCCCCTGTTCAGCTTGCCACATCAAGATGCTGAATACCACCTCTCCACACGGAAATAGCATATTATATTATAACTCTGACTCCACAATGCTGCCTTATACACCACAGGTGTGTCTTTTACGGGAGCGGTTCTTTCTTGCTTTTATAAAATCCTCGACGGGTGTGCTTGGTTTGCTGTGTTTGACACTCTTAACGCTCTATGTTTGCAGATGAAAAGCACTCGGTACAGTTTTATCGCAGGGCTGGCAAGCACCGCACTTTTGTCCACAACAAAGTTTCGGTTCACATGAACGGCAACAGCGGCACTCTGGTGCAGAAGAAAGGTACGGTGTGTATGCAGTGTTCTTGCCGTGGGGAGGGGGGGGGGGGAGGCGCAGCGCCCCCTCTTCGGATGCCCTCCCAATGCTGATAGCTCAACGACACCCTACTCATTTTACGATTTTTGTGTTCTTTTTCAGTTCACACAGTGAAAATGCGGCCACAACTCGATTGCTCCGGACAATCATATGTTGCATTTTGTGTGACAAGGCAATAGTGGAACATGGAATAAAGGGAGAACTGTTTGTTTCCCCTACCCTCCCCCCCCCCCCCTCCCTGCCTGCCTACAATTGTGTCCTGGCTAAAATCCTGGTATGGATACAGAATGATGATCATGGGTGACTGGGCCACTGCAGGTCTTTCAAAGCAGAGTCACACAGGCAGATGTTTGCATTACTTGCTGTTGTAACTGATGCAACAAAATGAGAATTTCCAGAATCTGAAGGTCGATAAAAAGAGACAGTCCCGGTTACGCACCACACGGAATGCATAATATAATTATTATGTTGACTTCAAGTCACTTTCATCGTTACAAAATGCCGTGCTATTCTTTCCTTCTTTTCTCTGTCTCTCCAGTCTCCTTGCTGTTTCTCTTTTCTTTCTTTTTCTTGTCCATTTTGATTCACACGGGAAACGAGAACTTGGCCCAACGATATACAGGCACACAATGTTATCGAATTGGGAGTGAGATTTATTGCAAGTAGTAATGTTCAAGCATGGCTTTGATAATGTTTGCGAACAATTTAAACTGCTCGTTTACGCTTGTGAAGAAGAGGTTGATGCGACTTCGGCGATACTCGTTTACTCTTGGACAGTAATAATTATAGTGTTCAGTCTATGGCTCTGATGACCACATAACACCTGCAACACGTTCTTACTGCCTTTGCTGCTGTATCCCTCAGCTCAAGAAGAGTCTCGTTCTAGTTCCAGTAGCCCCGAGTTTAACAATGTTCTCAGCCGGTCTTCCGACAGCGCGAATCCACTGCCAGTTATTATCCAGGGCAAGCCTGATGTAGATGCTGGTGAGAAATCCCTGAGTATCTATCTCATTCTGTGTTCTTGAGATGTATGAACTGGAATTCAAGTTCCTGTTTCACCTGGCCATTTTTTGACGGTGTGAAATTTGTAATGGTGCGGCTACAGCATGGACACTAAAGACTGAACTCACAGTCATGCAATGTCGACTATGCCAGTACTACAGTCAATACTGAGAGGATGCAATAACAGTAAAACCTGTAACTAACGACCACCCGTTGGGGCCAGAGAAAGCGGTCTTTAGCGGTAGGTGGTCCTTAGCTCTTAGTTCGAGGTTTGCACCGCACAACCATAATACAAATGTGAGACCGCCCGTGCCTGGCAAAGTGGTCTGTAGCACCAGGCTGGTCGCTAGTCACGGTGGTCTTTAGTTATAGGTTTTACTGCAGTTGTGGACTGTCAGCCAGAACTCTGTTCCTCTCTATTGTTATCTCCGTTTCAAAGAGCTACAAGTGGTGATGATCGTCATCCACTGAAGCTTGGAATTGGCCTGAGGCAAAGCGGCATTTGCACATAATGCCATTTCCCTCTTTCGGCCCTCGGCCGTGCATGCAAAAGTGTCGTCATTCGTGATCTGTCACGTTTTTTGGCCATCAGGCCTGAAGATTGTGTCGCTAATCGCGAGTTGTTGTTTCACCCTAGGTCATTATCCACGAGATTGACTGTAGATGATGCAGCTAGCTGGGTATCAGTGAAAGGGTTGCACCGTTTGTGGACTCCAAAGAGAGACGAGCATTTTCCCCGTGGGTGTGGAAGCTGGCCACATTAACATTAGCTGCCACTGATCGTGTGTTCTGTTTAAAAATCATTTGCATTTTCTATTCCATCCCGCACAGAGAAAAAGTCCTTGGTGGATGAAGTTCTTGCGCAACGGCACAATTACCAGACTTTGGTGAGTACAGTCAACTTCGCTTATAATGACATTCGGCGGGGCATCGGAAAAATGTCCTTATTCGCGAAGTGTCCTTATACCCGAAGTCCCATTTGAATGTATGTGAACCCATATTTTTGTATAGTATGACCCGCATATCAAAATGAAGCTCTTTTCATGCTCTATACCAACGTGTACCCCATTTTCATATTACAATTGAAAGGAACTATAAAGTCGATATGGAAGGGAAATGAAAAACTAGCCTTTTGCAAGTTTTGGAGCCATCTACAGCCAGGGACATGTACATGACATGTATGATGATTACTGTACAATCATGTACCGTACTGGCAATATATGTTGCCGCGTAACGCGTAACGCAGGGGGGGGGGGGGGGGGGGGGGTGCGGCGTAACGCGCGACCAGGCTAGTGCGACAAATTTTCGTTGCGTTCGTAACGCGCGTCCGGCGGGGTGCGGCGATCTTTTCATTGCAGTTTGCACTACAAAAAAAAGGCTAAAAACTGTGAAAGCACGTGTACCGCGTGGTGAAAAGTTCAAAACTGGACGCAGCAGGAAGTCCTGACACTCGAAGGCGCATCATTCAGTGGTTGGCGATCTCAAAGGTTTCTTCTTTCCCGAGGTCGTTTTGCGAAGAAGAGCGATGTGTTTACCAGTTTCCTGGTGACAATGCGGCAATATAGAAACCTGTGTAACGCCTCCTGTGCGACTTTGCATGTAACGCCCTGCGTGCGGTAAACATGTGCCAATGTAACGCTTCATGGCCTCACTGCGACCATATATATTGCCAGTACGGTAGTAGACAACTACAGGACATTGTAGTTGTGCTGATCACTCCAACATGTATTTAGAAGCAAAAAAATAAAAAGCCCCCCCCCCCCCTTGGCTGCAGGTGTGCCTTTATCCACCGCCATGCCTGGCATGAGTTCTGGTAATTCTGCATGACAGGTACTTCAAATAGCTGTCAAAAGCCCAGAAAGTCGTTATTCAAGCAGTGAATATGACCTCGGGGCACTAAAAGGCTTGTCGTTATTCGCGAATTGTCGTTATTCAGATAGTCGTTGTATCCGAAGTTAAATGTATACAGTTAGATGGGACTTTGCTCTGGGCATGGAAATTCTGTCGTTATTCGCGAATTGTCGTTATATCCGCAGTCATTATTAGCCAAGTTGACTGTAGGCCTAGTTTATCAGAGTAAACAGATCTTCTCTCAGATCTTTTGTTACATGTTACCTGTGTCTAGAATGCACTAGTTCCTTCTCCAGTCTAAATAGTTTTAGAGCAGTGTGTGTGTGTGTGTGTGTGTGTGTGTGTGTGTGTGTGTGTATGTGTGTGTGTGTGTGTGTGTGTGTGGCGTGTGTGTGTGTGTGGCGTGTGTGTGTGTGTGTGTGTGTGTGTGTGTGTGTGTGTGTGGCGTGTGTGTGTGTGTGTGTGTGTGTGGCGTGTGTGTGTGTGTGTGGCGTGTGTGTGTGTGTGTGTGTGTGTGTGTGTGTGTGTGTGTGTGTGTGTGGCGTGTGTGTGTGTGTGGGGGGGGGGTGGCTGTGTATGCGTTTGTATGTGTCTGCAAGTGTGTGAACGTTTGTGTGCACTCCTGCCCCATAGATGTGTGATCCTTTTTGGGTCAGATCAGCACAGGCAAGTGAGGAGATGCCTAGGAAGTACCCCCCCCCCTTGCCGGACTGGATTTCAATGAACAGCTGTGCCATCTATCATAATATATTTATTATATTAATAGACTATATCCATCCATTGTCCCCTAGCCCCTTCATGCCCTCAAACTGATGAATATTAGTCCACAGCTGCCCACTTCTATTGAGCTTGTTGATGAAAACTGTTATGTTCTGTTACGTATGCAGCCACCTTCCAAATACAATCATGCATCACCAGTGGAGCGTGTATGCAAGGCTACAACTGGAAAAATAGGTGAGCCGGGCAACTTCGAGAACGCCTTGACCAAAGCAATGGAGGAGAGACTCCTGCGGCACTTGTTCTACGACGACGACATGGAGGCCGTCTTTTGTGTTGTCCCTCGACTTGGTGAGTGTCGGGTAGCTGGGTTGTGGAATTAACTGCAGCACTATTATACTACTTCTGAAGTATAATAATACTACTTCTGAAGTACATGTATAATGATTATACTTTGAAGTAGTATAAATAAATAATAATAATAATAATAATACTTGAAGTACTTCTGAAGTAATAATAATAATTATTATTAACTGGTTTGAGGGAATTATTATTATTATTTATTTATACTACTTCGAAGTATAATCATTATACATGTACTTCAGAAGTAGTATTATTATACTTCAGAAGTACTTCTAAAGTGGTATAATTATACTTCAGAAGTAGTAGTATTATACTTCAGAAGTAGTAGTATTATACTTCAGAAGTAGTATTATTATACTTCAGAAGTAGTATAATTATACTTCAGAAGTAGTATAATTATCAGTATAATTATACTTCAGAAGTAGTATTATTATACTTCAGAAGTAGTATTATTTGTATTTGTATTTATATCATTATCTCATGGCACATCATGATGACGGCCAATAAAACTGAGACAAGGGTGAAAGCCAACCACAGCAGTAAAACAGATAAAAGAATACAAATAAGAGGCAAAGAAGGCAAAGGAGGAGACAAACCAGCAGGATATACATGTACATGAAACCTATAATTGAGCAGAGATTTTAGCAACAAAATTATCCATCGACGTGCTGGTCTTGGCCTGCGTTGGTAATGTTGCCCAAAACACATAGCCAGCAAAGATCGGGGATCTAGTGAATAGGGTGGAGGCAGCGCGTGGGAGACTGAGCGAGTTCCGGTCCCATGATCTTATCAGTTCCCGATGATGGTCACAGACCAATTTTTTAATTGAAATAATTTTAAGTGAATAGCTATGCAAGTAATAGTTGAGGTGTGGCGAAGAGCAATGTTCGATGTCAGTTACATTCCAATATTTAGAATCACGGTGAACTCCCTTTTCGGGCATCACAGTGTGGCTCATCCTCAAAAGTCCTGTGTCCTTGTGTTGGTCGTAACTGCCGTTGCTGCTGCCGTCGTCAATCTCATCCTTATTTTCATCTTCCTATCGTTGTCATCTTCCACTCCAGGAAATTCTTTGCACTCTGCAACATCACATGTATGGGATTACATCCTCCAGGAGGTTGCTGACAAGTTCCAATTTCACAACTCAAGCTACTCACTGAAGCCACTTGGCCACTTGGCCATGCCGGAAATCAGGGATCGACTGAGAGCCTACTACAAGTAAGGCATTGACCATTTCAAAATTGACTTCACAATCAGGGATAGCTGAGGCAGCTTGGCTAAAGCCTAGTAAAGGGCTCACTGCACCAGGTTGCATATCCATGTATGTACTTGAAGTACATACATACTTTCAGTTACACACTGGAGCACCTATAGACAGACACAGACAGACGAGATCAGTGGTAGCATGTTTGGCTGACAAGCAGTATCCCATCTCTTCTGCATGTACAGCATTGGCTGGTTGCCTTGCGGTTACATCTAACCCAGGGTTCGAACCTAGGAATCTGTGTCCACACAAGCTCTACAAATAAATACTTTTTTACTGTGAAAAATATACTTATAATGCAACTCCTACAATGTCACAGCCAGCAGGACTAGCCGTAACAATGCTGCCAGAATATCTAGAAGGAACTTGTCGATACTTTATTAGCGGATATACGATGACTGTAAATATTGCAAATACCTACCAGTGGTGAAGTCGTGCCTTTAAGAAAGCACAATAAGATCTCAACACTGTTTCCCACCGTCTGTCCCTGCATCCTTCTAGAATTTAAGAATTTGTTTAGATAAAATGATTGGCTGTAGCACCTATAAGTATATCAGTACATTCATATCCCTCATTTATGTTTATGTATATTATTGTCATTCGGATCTTCCCTAGTTGTACATTGTACTGTTGAGATGCCGAATTCAAATAAATCAATACAATTCATTTTCAGGTTCCCGCGCTATGTATTCCATTGTATTGTGTGAATGCCAGTATATCCGGGGACGGGTATCAGTATTGGCCCCTGTGCGTGTGTGGTATGTATGGGTCTCAGTATATCTGGGGACGGCTGTCTGTAGGTCTCTGTGCGTGTGTGGTATGTATGTGTCTCAGTATATCTGGGGACGGCTGTCTGTTGGTCTCTGTGCGTGTGTGGTATGTATGGGGCTCAGTATACCCGGGGACGGCTGTCTATTGGTCCCTGTGCGTGTGTGGTATGTATGTGTCTCAGTATATCTGGGGACGGCTGTCTGTTGGTCTCTGTGCGCGTGTGGTATGTATGGGGCTCAGTATACCCGGGGACGGCTGTCTATTGGTCCCTGTGCGTGTGTGGTATGTATGTGTCTCAGTATATCTGGGGACGGCTGTCTGTTGGTCTCTGTGCGTGTGTGGTATGTATGGGGCTCAGTATACCCGGGGACGGCTGTCTATTGGTCTGTGTGGTAACTGTTATGCATGGGTCTCTCCCTCTCTGCTACAGGTTAGCCATTGTGCAGCATCCCGTCCACCGCCTTGTATCACTGTATGGAGAATTATCATCACACCTCACGGACAATCACACATTGAACAAACTGAACAGTTCAGTTCCTGCGACAGGCGACAATACCACACAGGAGCAGGATCCATCATGGCAAGGAATGAGTCCGGAGCGGATTCTAACTGAGGCCGGCAATGCTTCAGGGAACGTGACCTATCGGAGTGTGATGCAGTTCCTCGCCAAGCGCGGTCCAGTGTTGACGGGAGATGACTGGATGCCCGTCACCGACTTGTGTCAGCCCTGCGTAGTTCAATATCATTTCATTGCCAAGGTGGAGGAGCTTCCGCAGAGTGCTGTGCATGCTCTGCAAGCAATTGGCATAGCGGATGAAGTGACTTCTCCCGTGCGTAGTGAGATGACAACGCTTGCGAACACCTCAGTTGTGAACCACTTGAATTCAGAGTTAACAGTTAAAGAGTTCTATGATGTGCAGAATGCGTATCACCTGGACTGTCAATTATTTAGCTATGTTGCTAAGCCTCCAGCATTTCTCTAAGTTATTTACACAAACAACTCCCACCCTAGCCCTAATTCCCCCCTGGAAATGCCCTATATTCAAAGCACCAGCACCAACGAGAAATTGATGTTGAGTACCTATCATTTTTTCACCTTGAGTTGAACATTATTAATTTTCCTATTAAACAAGATACTTACACTTACAGATAGAAATGAGTGTGTTTGTACCTTGAGATAAAAGTTAAACAAATTAGTGTAAAGCAAATGACAAAAAAATCAAGACAGTTGAGAACGGAAAAGTGACGTCTCGGCTACTAGCAAGCCATCCCGAATGTATGGAGAGTTATCATCACACTTCAGTGCCAATCGAACATTGAAAGTGCGTCTCACTTCTCACCCCACACAGCAGACCAATGGACAATACTGTGAGCTGTATCATTATGAATCAGCTGAGCTATGTACAATACAGCAAGTCGACTCGGTGAGCTGGATGCTGCAAGGCCATGCACACGTATGTAGACCATGTGAAAATACGCTCACATCCATGGCGGGTCAACAATGTCTGGTCAAATTGTTGTCGTGTCGACTCAGATTATTTCTTGTTCGGTGCAATGATTCCCTCTAGCTGGGTCTGCAGCATACAACAATGACACAATATACACTCACTCGATGGCATCCATTGCTAAAGTTACCATAAGTATCGTACCGGTTATAGGTCGACATATTATGACCTAAGAACTGGACGAAACGACAGGAAGTCGACTTACAACCGGGGTTTCCCCTGAACTGGAAAACTGAGGCCCCAAGTATGGGGTTTGACATATACAGTAAAACCTGTAACTAGAGATCATGGTGACTAGTGGCCAGCCTGGTACTACAGACTAGTGACCAGCCTGGTACTACAGACTAGTGACCAGCCTGGTACTACAGACTAGTGGCCAGCCTGGTACTACAGACCACCGTGACTAGTGGCCAGCCTGGTACTACAGACCACTTCGCCAGGCACGGACGGTCTCACATTCCGATGGTTGTGCAGTGCAAACCTCTAGCTAAGGACCACCTGCCACTAAAGACCGCTTTCTCTAGCCCCAAGGGGTGGTCATTAGTAACAGGTTTTACTGTAACCGGCATAAAAAGGCACTGCCACGACACTGGGCAGTAGAGTTTGGCAGGCTCTAATTCCAGCAAACCAAGACTGCATAATATATACTGCTTCGTCGTCAATCACTGGCTGTGGTGGAAAGATATTTTCCAGGGTTTTACTAGGATCTATTGGATTTTCTAGTATTGCAGTTGATTTATTTGTAAGTCCTTGTCCGCGAGCATTTCGCTCCTGCTCTTGTATCAGTTGAGCACTCTCGCGTGGAGTAGTGCCTTTGCTGTTTGCGTTACGCAGAGCTCATTGACTTGCCAGTTTGAGCACTCTGGCAAGGTACGTTTGGGCCTGGTTTAAATCTGGCTTTGGAAAATTTATTTTTCATTGCTATCAGGTTTGGCCTCATTTTCTCTGTGATGTGCTGATGAGTCCCAAAGGACGAAACAGTTCTGTCCGAAGATTGAGTAGGTCCTTTTGTCCAATAATTTCTTACCTTGAGTTGCTGGTTGGTTCTTTTAGCAAACTGCATCTCCTCCTGATGCTTGGTCTGGTCAGCAACTCTTCTTTCTGCCTCACGCTTCTCCAGCGCCTCGTACTTGTTCTTCCAATCTGCTACCATTTTCTCCTGTTGCTTGACTTCTTCCTCGAGTTCGACAATCTAAAGCAAAGCACCAGAAATTGTAGAAATTGTAATTCAAGAGAAATAGTAGTCTATCCACGAAGTATGTGGTTTCAACTTGAAAAGAATGCACGGTTTGGAATAGAACCAATCTAGTGTGTGCATGTGTGTGTGTGTGTGTGTGTGTATGCGTGCGTGTGTGTGTGTGTGTGTGTGTGTGTGTGTGTGTGTGTGTGCGTGCGTGCGTGCGTGTGTGTGTGTGTGTGTGTGTGTGTGTGTGTGTGTGCGTGTGTGTTCTAATCACTTACCCGCTCTTTCATGTCTGACTTGCCTTGCTCAGACTGCAGTGCCTTTCTCATGCCAAACGCCACACTAAAACCAACAAGACAACAAGGTAAAACGCTCATGATGTGGGGAGAAACACTAGGCTTGATCATATAGCTCTGACCTACTCGAACACTCCAGGCACACAGTGAACAGCTTGTACGTGAAGTGTATGTTCGCAGGGACTACACAAATACACATACACATGCACACATGCACGCGCGCACGTGCAAACAATGCTGTGATGTACCGCTATGTACTGCTATCACAGACAATATGCAGATCATGAATCGTGTGTACAGTTCTAGGTGATGACGCTTACTCTCGCCCACAGGCCTCTTGCCACGTGTGTGATCGCTTCTCCAACATATGATTACTTCGCCTTAGGGATTCTAACGTATTCATCCTACGCTGTATCACCATCAACCTAGCTTGAGATTACGTTGAGTCGTGTACTGAGCAAAGTAGGAACCAGTTGTGTTGCTTTGCCTTCTCTCTTGGATGTTGTGCCACACTAGCTGGCAACTCGGGGCCGTCGGACGCTGTGCGGTCACTGCGGTGTTGACCGTATCACTTTTTGCCCCTGGTACCCCGTGAATCAATAAATACACTGATCTGGGATCTAAATTTCCAAAATTTTCGGCTCAGCCACCACTCCCCCACGAGTAAATTGTACTTCAGATGGCTGACCTTACCACACTATAATACCTTCGTACGCCCCTGCAACTAGTGGTGGTGCAACCATCACAAATGCAATAAGAGTGTTCGAGTACATGATTACGTACATGTACCGTGTGAGCCAGTAGCAATGCGTGCAAACGACCAGTAACTGTACGGTACCGTACCTGCTTTCATAGAGAGTCTGATAGGCCTGCAGTGTCATCTTGATCTCATCACGAACCCTGCAATGAACCAACAAGACACCTCACGATTGCTCGTTTGTAACAGCCACGTGCCTTTGTTATACTCACAGAAGTATGCGAAGACCTTAAACCAATGAAGGTTGGACCATGCATAGATAACACTTAGACTGTTTGGCGATACCAGTGCAGGTCAGCATCAGGGAGTCGTATTATTACAGCTCTCGAGTCAACATACTACACAGCAGAAAACGATGGCCGGCATGCTGCTGCATTGTACATGCAATATAACTCCACACTATGCATGCTGGCGATAATCTAAGGTACACTCAATTGGTATCTGGACACTGATGTTCTGCCATGCAGTGTGTGCAGTATGAAGGTTAGGGTTCATTTCAGCGAGTGGCACACCGGCACATTTACACGTACGGATTATGAATTGAAAATCTGTACAAATCAGCCTTACCGAAGCAAAAGAAGTCCACGCTCAGAACATTCAATGGTGACTTGGCGGATAATCTCGTCTAGAAGGACACAGCCGTCATCACATCACAAACATCCCATGCTGCTATTGTGGTCATTATTTAGCATCTGCAAGCCCTCCTCGCTGAATACCACACATACTGCACTAGAGCATGCACTTGTATGCGAAGGGAACGCTGGTCATCTAATTCTACATTCCACCTGAAACCTGGCAGGTCCCTGGCTCCGAAATTTTAATGCACACCTAAAATTACATGTTTTACAGTACATGGCAGAGCAGGTGGCAAGAAACCCTGACGGGGACGATTTACACATTCACACCTTCTCCTATGTGATAGTTAACTGAGAGGAATTGTTCGGAACATACACAACAAAGCATTATAGCACTGTTTCTCTCGACTACCATGCTGTCCCAGAGTCACAAATCCAGCAAAATCACAGCAACACATAGGTTTTACTTTGAAATATGATAGAATTACAACCGCCTGAAAAACTGCTATCAATACCTCAAGGGAGAATCCCTTCTGGACAGTCGTTTTCAAACAGTATGCCAGGTCAGAATAACCGACCTATTGACACTTATCTTCAATTGTGCCATCCTATAATAGAAAAAGGGTGAGCGCACTTGCACACAACGTACCAAAACATTGGCTATAGAGCTCGCGTCGCACGGGGCATATGCCAGTCTCCCTGGCCTGTCGCTGCTGAATCCTCGTGTCTAGTAACTCCTATAGGTACAAAAACACATCAGTGATGGGAAGACTAGTGTTAATATACTCCGCTTGCAGTAGAAGACCAGGTATGGATCTAATCAACACAATACATCACATTTTGTGTCACCCTGCATTTAGACAGCGCAATACCCTTTACACACCCTGCATTTCGGACCAGATGTGACAACACCGCCTCACCACCTTGGCCCGAATGGTGAAATCTCGTTATTTCCAATATGGTCAATTTGTCAAATAGATTCGAAAATTGGTTTGGTTCAAAGTGCTTCTCACCACGCACCTATATCAGCAAGGTTACTAGAGGAACCGAGCCTCCTCGGCACATCTGCAGGTCAGCGGTTTTGGTGAGTCCATTGAACGGGATCAGTTCCAGATCCATGCAGAGTCTGGGCTGAAGGACGGGGTGGGGGGGGGGTATCACTCGTAGTGTAGTTCAAGAGTCATCCTTCAAGACTTCTTTGAATCTCTCTCCACTCCTCCGGAAAGACCCATGTGACCACTATCTGGTAGTGAATATGTACAATTGAGTGTAATGTATGTGCGTATGCGTGTATGTGCGTATGCGTGTATGTGCGTATGCGTGTATGTGGCTACATGTGTTCACCAGTATACGTATGTTTATAAATAATTGTATACGCACGAGGCCCAAGTTTTTGCATGTGTCGCACTGCAGACAACAGTCCACTCACCTTCAATCCCAGCACTTCCATTCTGGTAGCAGGCGTGCTGGAGACTGGCTGGACCCACAGCTGTCCACTCTCCTGCCATTCCCTGTACACAGGTCAATGACCATTGCAAACCGTACCACTAACGCCATTCACTATCAAGCCCCAATAGGTACCTGTATGCTTGAACTAAAATTATAGTATTTTATATGCTCTGAAATTATAGTTCGGTTATGGACTGCATCAACAAGTACAGTGCTGGCAACTGAAATCCGACACCCTTGCCGGCGCGCCGCGCCCGCAAGGGGGTCGGATTTCAGTTGCCAGCACTGTACAATGTAGTCATGAATTGATCTAGGCAAGAAAAACATGAATTGTTGCTCCCCGGATACAGGGACTTTCCCTCGGGCCAAAGTCCTGTGCTGTTGTTGTTCTTGTACTCTTGTCCCATTTGCTCAAACATGGAGAATAGCATCAATCTGATCTTCCGCTACAGAGCACAATGAACTCGACTGCCCACACGTGCACTTCAGCACGCATGCACTCTGACCAGAACTCATGTTCGGAAAGTCAGTACCAATATGTACCATAGACCTAACTTCTTATCTGCTTACCTTGGAGGAAGAATGGCGGAAAGGATTTCGTCAGTTTCCTTCAGCTTCTGAGTTTCTGTTGCTGAAGCCTTTGTCTTTGTGGGCGATATGACCCCTTGCTGCTGCTGTTGGGCTGGTGGCTGGATAAAAAACATGAAAAGTATACCCTTGACTTGAACACTACAGAAGCAGAAGGACGAACAGTTGCAATTTCGAAAGCCATATGACTGTGGTAAAAGCTATAATTATGTGTATACACAAGGATAATCCTTTGGAGAGTAAGGTGGTGAGACAGAGACAGGAAGACTGGCAGAGAGACAGAAAATAGGTCTTGGCCATACACCTACATGTGCATATAAAGTGGACCTGGCCGGAGATGAACGTGCGTCATTGACTCATGCATGGCCCGGCTAGTAGCACTTCCATCCCCAAAGCATACCCAGCCACGCTTACACGCCAATGGATGCAATCTACAGAAGATCAAATACCTCTTAGTACAGTATGCATAACTCTTTTCACATGTCCCGGGGATCCATTGGCTATGCTATCCTCACAGTTCTTACGTCGTGTGTGGACTTGATTTTCGGATTGTCATACTTGACCAGTGATGTAACTGGTGGAATCATGATGCTTGGCAGCAGTGACAGTAGCTGAAGTTATGGCACTCTATCAGTTAGGGCTGATTGCTGCTGTGGACGCCGGACAACCTGTGATTTACGTCAACAGAAATGGAACAAGGGAGGGAGGAACACTCTATGAAAAGGCTCGTACAGGAACGGTTGTCTCAATGGTAAAGCCAAGACCATGTTTTGCAGGACCGGCGAATTGAGCCGTTTCCATTTGTCCGGCCATACCATAGCCTTTCACTCATTGTGTTTGATATATATATATACTCAATCTGCGGACAGCATGCTGTTTCGTTCTTTTTGAACTCATCAGCGCAGCACAGAGGAAATGAGGCCGAACCTGATAGCAATGGAAATAAAAATTTCCAATCAGGCCCGAACGTACCTTGCCAGAGTGCTCAAACTGACAAGTCAGTGAGCTCTGCATAACGCAAACAGCAAAGGCACTACCCCACGCAAGAGTGCTCAACTGCTACAAGAGCAGGAGCGAAATACTCAATCTGCGGACAGCATGCTGTTTCGTTCTTTTTGAACTCATCAGCGCAGCACAGAGGAAATGAGGCCGAACCTGATAGCAATGGAAATAAAAATTTCCAATCAGGCCCGAACGTACCTTGCCAGAGTGCTCAAACTGACAAGTCAGTGAGCTCTGCATAACGCATATATATATATATATATTATATACTCAATCTGCGGACAGAACTGTTTCGTCCTTTGTGGACTCGTCAGCGCAGCACAGAGGAAATGAGGCCGAACCTGATAGCAATGGAAATAAAAATTTCCAATCAGGTCCGAACGTACCTTGCCAGATATATATTTATTTTATTCCAAACAATACATGGCTGGAGTAGCCAATGACCACCATGCATGGCGATTGCACGGTTTTTTTAGCCAACCACGGCTACACATGACGTCCTCAGCAGGAAACATGTGTTAGTGGCCAAAACATTGGTCTGGTGTTTACCTGAACAACCGGACTGGTTCAGCCGAGCCTGTAGTAAGTCGTGTTCGTGACTGGCATTCGGTTTTGCCTATTCTTGCCACATTTCCAAAGCGGAATCTATGATTGTCTCTGCATCTCAGGCGACTTGCTGTAACTTGTTAGGCGGTGGCCAGTTACAATTGTAAGTTCGGCCTGTTTAACAGAACGGTGTTGGTGTTGCTAGGGATTTTGTATCGCACGTCATGGCAGCAAATATCACTGACCAGCACGCTCTACAACGGTGCACAGCTCTACAGGAGTGCACAGCGCTACAGCAGTTGTATGAGAAAAATATCCCTAGGCTTAGTCAACCACTGACTGTACCTGACTACATCATGGGAATAACATGAGCACTGCATGTGACTTGGGCTAACTCCCTGTATCGTGTATGCAGACATCGAGGTCGACGTTACTAACTGGTTGTCCCTTCTCATGATCGCAGTCTCAGGTACTACCGTACTAGTGATCACACGCCGACTATTCATCAGCCATTCGCGTTGCCAATTATGCACCAGTAGCCTTTACCTAGACAAAATCATTTTAATTTGTAGACGATAGCATGGTTGTGGAGAATGGGGAATATTCATATTGTGTAACTCACCCACCGACCGTCAAAGGACGTGCTGACCAATCGACTTCACCAGCGTCCGCGCAAGAGCGTATCGGGTAGAGGCGTGCTGCTCGCCCAAATTACATCCAAACCAGTGTCTGATCTGCTCACTTCTCCAGTAACTAGCAAAACATACACCATGTAGATCTACACGCTGTAGCTTCGATTAGGGAATTGGGGCGGCGGACTCTTTCTTTGAAAATCACACGGTGGGTCTCTGTAGTGTAACTCGACTCGTCGCCCTGAGTTGTTTTTCCCCGTTCGTGTGTATCACACTAGTTGCACTGTGAGTCAAGTGACGCGTCAACCAAGCGAACTCAAGTCGAGGCAAGCCCTCACACAGCTGCAACTGCAAGTGCAAGTGCTGTGGAGGGAAAAGTAAGTAATTAGTTGGCACGGCGACGGAAATCGTTACCTTGCCTACTGTCCTGATGCTGACTTCCCAGCCCTCCTTGGCGGTTACTAGTTAGGGTTGGAACACTGTTAGTGTTACTTGGATCCCGATCAAACAGGTTTTAGACTGATGTTTGTATTTTCATGCTGTGTCACAGGTGTTTTGGGCGGTTTTCAAACTTACCGGTACTGGTGATTCTGTAGTTTTACATGTATCAAGGCAGCACAGAGCCGTTGCTACTCTTATTTCGGCTACATGTACGCGAAGTCTTCGATTTAGAGACTCTACAGGGGCAGTGAAACCCGCTCAAATATTCTGATTCTGAGTGACCAACAACTAATAATAATAATAATTATTATTATTACTTAGTACGTCACTATATGTATGATGAACACCGAAACACGTCGAAGCTAAGTCCTTGATAAGAATGGGACAGGAGGGCGTGCGGTAGGTCGAGTTGGAGACGAGTGTGGCTCGAGCCTCGCCCTCAGTACTACATGTGTAATACTAGTACAGGACTCAGTGACAGTAGGCTCAGAGAAGGAAAAGCACCAACACTGCAACAGATTCAAACACTGAAACAGTGAGCTACATGTGAAGAGTGATCGACCGAAGCACCAAAGAAAACTGATACTTTTTCCCCATTCAGTATCGTGGAATTTTCAGCGCATTTGGAGTGGAATAGTTCGCAGGCATGGCTGCTCGGCTGCTGCGTAAAACTGGGGAAGCGATCAAGCACAGTCCGGGTGCTCTGCGGCGAGCTATGAAGGGCAGTAATACATACAGCTTCGGCGAGGAAGAAGCCCAGGATCCATTCAAAGTCGGACTCAGTTTCTACGTGACCTACTTAGGATTCGAGAAGATGGAGTCAGTGGCCGTGGCGGACAAAGAGACAGTACGGAAAGTGGACGGAATTGTGAGCCGAGTGATTGCCGCGAAGAAGACGACTCCTGTCAAGCGGCTGGTTCTCGTCGTCAGTGGCCAAAAGCTGAGCATCCTGGATCGTCGCGACGCGATGGACGTCATTCGCATACCGCTCTATGCCGTGGCGTACGCCGGCTCTCACCCGATACACAATAATGTGTTCGTATTCCTGGAGAGCAAGGATACCTCGTCCACCTCGTGTCACGTCATGCTCTGCGAAAGCACGAAAATGGCCAGAACTCTGGTGCGCGTCACGGCCAAGGCGTTTCAGAATGCGTTCCTCGACTGGCAGGCCAATCAAAAGAAAGACTCTGCCAGTCAGAAGCGAGAGGAGCGCTTAGCTGCGCACCAGAACTCGGTGGAGTCCAGCGCACAGGCCGGTGGAGAAATCCCTAACAACATGGTTCTGGCTAGAACTGGTGAGGATGCGACTACACCTGCTGAACCCGAACCTGAGCCTGAGCCAGAAGAGAATTTGTATGAGGAGGTGAGTGCCTACGTACCTCCGGAGAAAGAGGAGAAGTTGGCCCGCCACCGCTCGTTCTACCGCCGCTCCAGTGCCGTTATCAACCCGCATGTGCTGAGCACGGGTGACCTGGCCATCAAGCCGGAGGAAGACCTGAACTATGAGGAGATCAAGGAGTTTGCGCAGACCTTCGACAACGATACAGCAGGAGAGTGACCCATGCCTGCTAACCACTAGCACAGTCATGTACATGTACTGAGTCACAATCTGATCATGCCGATGAGTAACTTACTCCGAGCTATCAGCAGGTGAATTTGAATTGACTGGTACATGTGTATATTGTAAGCATTCTATCAATCCCTATGCCCTTTTGGGCCTTGAGACTTTCTTTTATCTAAGACGGTGAACTTTATTACTATACATAAAGTGGGCACTTGCGACGACATATTAGGAGATTTCCTGATTCGATTTGCACTGTGCACTGTGAATTGCCACTGCAAACTTTTTTCTCAGTTTTTTTCAATACTGAAGTATTTCTACTTTGTAAAGGAGTGCAGAAGGAATCACGCATACTCTTCACCAGTCCTGGGATGCACCAGTACATGTATAATTCTTCCAAAGTGTCTCCCGGCCATGAGGCGGCATCATCAGGGAGTTGCATTGCAGTGAATAATGTTACAGTGCAGGTCTTCTTATCAGCTATCTGACGATCGCTTCATCATCAAACTGAGAGTTACAAAATTAATACATTTTTGTTGTACATGTAAACCTCGCTCTCCAATGCTGTGTGTATGTGATGTTCATGCTGAGTATGCAATACAAGTAAAAAGTGAGTATGCGTTGACATGTGGAAAGTTGCCAGGCCAAAGACTGTACGCTTCTACTCATCGTCGATCCTGAAGGGATTGGCAAAAGGAATGTTACCTGTACACTTCAGTGACTTTACATTGTTGTAATATGCGCCCCATGGTGGAGCTCATTGACTCTGCCCGCTTCAAGTTCAAAAGAACTGCATGCTGTAGGCCGTCAACACACATACCTATGTAGCTGGTCACGGAATGTCCAAATTTGGTTGCTCGGCAGCATGGATAGGCAAGCCTGCATATGGACTCTCTTCTGGGTGCCACGCGAGTGTGAAGGGAGCCTTGACAACGTTGTGACATGACTAGGGCTAGGGGAGATACCAGGATACTGACTACTCATTGTAATGACAGCCGTGGATATGCTGTGACAAGCTGTGTAGTCTTGAGGTCTCTTACATGTAGTCTAACATGGGATCTTACCTGACCTCACTGCCAGTTCCAGTCATTCATAAAAAAAGCGAAATGTCTTGTTAAGCTTGCGATGGAAAGAGAAGCTTCTCTGAATGGTAAGTCCGAAGTAGCATTCTCACGAAGCATAGTGTATAATTATGTATGACATTCCTGAATTAATATTTGTCAGCAACGGCTGCCATGTAAAGAGTCTATAGACCCCCGGGTGAGCTCTTTTGCAGATTTGAGGATAAACAGAAACACGCTGCCTATAACTTAGCGTAGGTAGCTCTATAGTTGTACATCTGTACAGTCATGTAGACCACCTCCCCTGTCCATATTAGCACTGGACGTGTGTCATAGCCTAGCCTACACTACAGTCATTCTTCTTTTTCATCATGCAGCCAGCAAGAACCAGTTACTACAGTAAAGCTTGTGACTAACGACCACCCCTTGGGGCCAGAGAAAGCGGTCTTTAGTGCCAGTGGTCCTTAGTTAGAGGTTTGCATTGCACAACCATAATAATTATATGAATGTGAGACCGTCCGTGCCTGGCAAAGTGGTCTGTAGTACCAGGCTGGTCGCTAGTCACGGTGGTCTTTAGTTACAGGTTTTACTGTAGTACCAGGCTGGTCGCTAGTCACGGTGGTCTTTAGTTACAGGTTTTACTGTAGTACCAGGCTGGTCGCTAGTCACGGTGGTCTTTAGTTACAGGTTTTACTGTATTATCATGGATGAAAAGCATTAGCAGGGTTAGTACAGTGCTGGCAACTGAAATCCGACCCCCTGAGTGGTGGGTTCATATTCTAGCGGTCTCTGTTTCGTAGTTTTACCATCCCGTGTTAGGTCTTTTATTTGGGATGTGAGCGCACCGCTCAGGGGGTCGGATTTCAGTTGCCAGCACTGTACATAGTACATGTACATTGTAGTGCCACGTACGGGTTTTATACTATACCGGGGTAGTTTATACTCTTGACTATGCAGTATGTACACAACTGTTACTTCACAGGCCGCCAGCTTCACAGCAAACCAAGCCAGCAACTACGGAGCTACGGTATCTGACCTTACTGCAGGACCGTTGCATGGGATCAAATCTTCATCTGAAATACTATGCTGGTAGAGCACTTCGCTCATGTCATACAAACTACACTACCGGCATTTTATTATTCACGGTTACCATTTGCAATGCATATCTTGGCAGTACAGATACCAGAGCTGAGTCCGAGGCTGTACTGTACAATGAGCGTGTTCGATTACACACATTTCGGTCAATTCTAGAATTAGCTATTGCCGATGCACAGTTTGATTACACAAATTCCGTGTTCAGAATTGATATAATCCAATTCCGTCAATTCTGAAGAGGGGCGGGATTTCTCTAATTCTGGTGCCAGAATTGCACACTCGGCGTGTTACCGGTCTGGTCATGACTCCATCTACAGCGCGAAGAGCCTCCCTGGCCGGCGTGGCGCGAAAGCAGGGCTACAACTGCATGTAGTTGCTACGGTTGTCTTCCCGAAAAGCGAAATTGCCGTTTCCGCTGGGAGCTGATGAATAGTATTACCAGATCATATTGGGTGGTCCTTTCGCACACGCGTTCAGCATTATCGAAGCCCAATATTGTTGCCAACATGGAGCCTTCACCGGGACGGACCAGTATGCGATGCTGGGTTCACGTGTGCGCAGGGTGTACGTGATCTCTTATTGCGACCAATTTTGTTTGTGCCATGACATGAACAAAATGCGTTGTGAATTCCAGCCGTTCGTTTACAAGGCCGCAATCCGTACATTCTGGTCATTCGAGAATTACACAACCCAGATCCAGAATTGTGTAAACGCGTGGTCGAAAGCACCGATGTACTGCACACTTTCACTACCTACAGTCATTTTCCTCACCTGGCTGTAGGGTCCAGCGGATAATGCTCCGAAAATGTTCGTATAATGCTAATCATAATGCTCCAAAAACTACCTGATAATGCTGATTATAATGCTCCAACAAGGGCTATAATGCTCTTGGTTTTGGAACAAAAATGGAAGAAAGGCTGCACATTGTCAAACTTCCAGGAAAGGATGCATATAGTCAATCTGCCTCTAAAGCTGCTGCAATATCTCTCACGTGCTCCACTACTTCTTAGCACTATAAGACATGATCGCGTCTCCATTGGCTGCTCTCCATTGCAACTTTGATGCAGGGCTGTGGCTGCCGGAACAGTGGGTATATCAAATCCTTTCCCTTGCTTATCCATGAAGTGGGATGTGAGACCATTATTGCTGGTGATCAATTGGATGCTGGAAGGTTATCATGGGAAGTGATATTCCTGCCTGCAGATAAGCTGTCACTGCTTCCACTCTGTGAAAAATGTCTTCATCTGAAACAGCTTACGTGAGGCAAGTTCCTGAGAGACGATCTCAGATCGAGATCCCTCCCTTTTGCGGAAATCCTGAACACACGTGGTCAGAAGTTATTTTGCCGCTCTACACCCTCTGCTTGCGCTGTCTTCTTCTCCTGAGGTTGCGTGGAGACAAATAGTTGGCCGCAATACTCTTCTTTTCTGATAGCACTTGACTATCTTTGCATTCCAATCGTCCACGACGAACTGTACGTGCTTCACCAGGAAAGTACAACATGCGCTGCTGAGCGCTCAAATCGACTTGGTGCTGCATCCATGAGAAATTCTAGGTCTTTTCGAGCCTGCTGAGCTGGACTCGGCAAAGGCAGTTATTAATTTTGGAGTAAGCTCTATCCGCTTATAGCCGCTCCTTCATGCAGGTCCAAATGTTATCAATGGATTAGTGTTTACTTCAGTATCGCTAGACATGCTATGGCCAGAGCCTATGGCATAACACTTTTTATTAACAGGAAACTCCTCTTCCTCTGTTTGATATACACTTCGCGTAGATCTACGTAGTCTCCTCCATCATCCATGGCTCTCCATGATTTCTAAAAAAATTCTTAGTAAATCATCGTTACGGATTTTGTGCACTTCGAAGCATAAACAGCCTCAGTTGCAACGTTGGGTATGCTGCATCACATGTACACTTACCTGACATTGCTACATAACGACTTTTAAAACATGTATGTAGCAATGTCATACTGCATGTAGTCAGGTAAATGTAGCACTAAAGGTGTTACATGTGACGGTGTCTACACTCACAAAGTCATGTGCCGGTACAATAATGGCGTTGCACCTCATGCAGTCATGGCTTTACCAAAAACCATGAGATTATCCGACAATATCCACTATAAAACTCGTTATGCCGCTCAAATCTCACATAATGCTCGTCTTGTTCCTTCCTAATGCTCCATAATGCTCTAATGCTCGGATAGTCTTATACTTGAAAACACCGCCATTCCAGCAACAGGCTCTCAGCTGCTCCAAATAAATAACTTTGCAAAAATATTTCGCCCATTGGGCATCATCAGGGCATTGAGGAAGGGGAGGCCAAATTACGAAATATAAAGACGAATAATGCAGGCAGATGAATGTTCTAGAACTAACACATCGTGGTGACACAATTGGCACTTTGAAGGCCAGCAAACTAAACAATCATCACTTGTAAGGTGACCTAAACAAAACGAAAGATGAGAAAACTCACACATACACACAGACACAATTTGGCAAGAAAACTAACACTAACACTAACTTTACAGTTTACAATCATCACCTGTAAGGTGACCTAAACAGAAGAAAGAAGACTAGTAAGACTATCACAGCACGTACAAGAACACTTTCAAGTGTGGGAATGCGGTGTTTTCAAGTGCAAGGAATACGCTGCAATGGAGTTTGAGAATTCTGAAGAATAGTCTTATAATGCCGAATAAAATGCCGGTATTATCCGCTGGACCCTACCTGGCTGTCGTTGACTCACAGTGGAGTCTAGCGTCTGTCGCTATTGTGTCTTTTGCATTTTTGTACTGAGAATTTGCCTTGGTTGCCTATGATACGCACCTTATTTCAAATTCATTATTTTGTTGTTCAACTCAGGGGCGTCGGAAGGTATTTTGGTGTGGTACGGTCAGCCATCTGAAGTACAATTTACTCATGGGAGAGTGTGGCTGAGGCGAAAATTTTGGAAATTTGGATCCCAGATCAGTGTATTCTATTGATTCACAGGGTACCTGGGACAATATGTGGTACGGTCAATACCATAGTGACCGTACCGTGTCCGATATGTGCTCAGAAGGAAAATGTTTTGTCATTTCAGTTGTTTGGCGCTAATCCTCGTTAAAGTGTCAGGAATGCTTCTTCTCATTGATGTTTTCACTATGTTTTAGTCATTTCTTCACCGTCAGTCGTCACCCTGTTTTTGACCTGTTCAGCTGAATTTTATATTTTCCACACGTATACGGTATAGCGTTCGGTTCTCGATCTATGCTTTTGCTGTTGCTCTTTACGTTGCTGTATTTCGACATTTTCCATTATTCCCTGTATGTACCAATGATGGGAAGGGAACGAAAACGTTCGGTTACTAAATTGGCTTACTTGACTGTGTGGGTTGCGTCGGTGCTGACACCGTTTCTTTTGAAATTTTGGATACGCCGCCAATTTTTCCTTACATTCAACTAACTTATTGGCGGTCGTTTGCAGAGCCATGAAATGACACACCACGCAAAATAAATACAAAAAAACTGACACTTGACACCTTACTCGTGGGTTGGGCTGTGGTCGGCGATCTTACGAATAGTACATGAACCATCCGAGATAGAGAGATAGTCTTCTATGGACGTAACTCGTTCATCATGTCACGCAGCAGCATTGCAGATCTACACTGACTACAGTATTTGTAGGCGAAATGGCAGATCACCATGATCACGCGTCGTGTCCAGGTGTCAGTGGTAGTTTGGCAGGCAAGCTGATCGCGCATTGTCGAGCCGAAGAACCCCATCCGCAGTGTCAACACGTCCGGGTATCATTCATCGCGTTGTTCCGTCTGATTTCGTGACGTTGTAGCGCTATGATAGTATCCCTCAGTCGGAGTAGATCTGCCACCTCCCAAAGTCCCAATCGTGCCAAACATGTTGCGGACGAAGCAGAGAACGTTGCGTTTTGTGGACCGACAGTAGCTATTAATTTTTTTCCGGCAAAGTAACTGTGCTGATGTTCTAATTCTGCTAGCAATCGAGGTCAGCAAGTACTTGACCGTAATGAGGAGGAATGCACGCTAACTGATTACAGAAATGAATTGAAGAAATTTTAGTTCTCGATCAGGAATCTTCTTTGAGGTTTGGGGAGACAGGGCGGTCGGTGGCCCAACTTCACAATGAACAGTGTTGTGGAGATTGACCAGGCGTTGCTGGAGACGCTTCCGCAAGAGCAACGCCTGCAACTGGTCAAACGCATGCGCCAAGAGCAGCTCCGTCGCTACCACGAGCGAGAGCGCACGGACCCTGTGCAAGCGGGCAAAAATGGTTCGAAACCTTCGAAAAAGAAAGGTTGCAATGTGAAGTTTGGCAGTAACGACGAGCTGCTTGTTGCTGTGTCGGCGGATGATGAGCAGAAAGGTATAGTGGACCGTTCATGCCTGGTTTTTTCAGTAATCGTAGTTTGACCGTGGACATACGGTATGCAGGAAGTAGGTATAATTCCAAATCTGCAAATGAGCAGCGATTCCCTCAATCCCACTCACTACTATCAACGAATGTTTGCAGAATTGATCGAGTTACTTTTGAAAATTCCTTTCATTGAAATCTGATCTTTGAAATCTGATCTTTCAACCTATGAATACTGGACTGGACTAGCATCTAACCTCAGGCTGCCAAGGAATACTGAGATAATTATTATTAGGGACCGGCGGATTCTGCTCGAAAAGGTGGCAGATTCTGCTCGAAAAGCAGCGAAATTGGCAGAACCATACAAACCTTATGGCGGGCAATTCCTCGAATTCTGCTCCATTTTTTTATCCACATACCAAACATGCATGAAACTTACCAGAAAAAGTACCGAATTCTGCCAATTTTTCTGCCGGCAGAATCCGCCGGACCCTAGAGATAATCCACTGGAAAATACGTGTACCTTGCTGTGTTACTGTACCTTGCTGAATACTGTGTGTGGGGGGCTCCCCGGTAGTGCATTGTGCACTGCACTTGCCTGCGTACTGAGAGGTTGCGGGTTCGAGCCCCGAAGTCGCATATCTGACTGCAAACCCCCATGTTGCAGCTCACCAGGTCAAGGTGTGGGTCCTTTTCTCCCAGTTGAGACAGAGTCGAGCGAGCTGTATTCCCGGCGCCAAAAGGCGGGCTCACCACCCCTGTCTGGCAACTTCCCCATGTCTTATCCCCAAGACGAAGTGAGTATTCTAGCAGTCATACTGGGCGAAGTTTAAAAAAATAAAAAATAAAATAAAATAAAAACTGTGTCACACTGGTTTCAAGGAACATTTTATGTATAACTGATCAGCCCTGCATAACATGACAGGCAGAATGATGTTTTCTGCACACTCCCAAAGTCACTCCCTTGAGAAGGTTGTATTCACCTGCACTGCGGGACTGATGCTGTTTTCACTGCTCTTGTGTTCCTCGTACAGCCATTGACCTACTATCGAATCGTGGTGCTGATCCAGATTTCAGTCTTGGAAGTGGTACTAAGCTGCTACATCAAGTATGTGTCTTTGTGCGTGTAGCTAGTCCGGTTGCTAAGTCGTACAACCCCCTGGTCAAGAACCACCTTTCCGCTTCCGTGGGACGCCACCACCCCATGATCAGGCGTCAGATCAGATCAGATCATCTTGTGTAATCAATGGTGCTAGTGAAGCCTTTATCAGATCCACTCTGATTTAGCCACCTACACTAGTAGCAAGTATTACCTTCACTGGGGGCAGGGGTGAATGTAGTTAGATCCCGGGACGGATACCTTGATGCCGTAAATCCCTTTTCTGCACCTTGTCCTGACTCACTTTCTGAGGTGTGGTGAGCCCATAAGTGGAATCATTTCCAAGTCCGTCCAGAGCTTGGGGATGTCTAGGGGTGTCGACCGTTGGGCGGTTCAGTAGCTGATTGAGTCATCTTTCCAATATTCCATTTTAATCTCTCTCCCCTCTTCGGGGGAGACTCGCGGGACCAGTCATGGCAGTGAGAAGAGTGCATGTGTGTGTATGTGTGTGTGTGTGTGTGTGTGTGTGTGTGTGTGTGTGTGCGTGTGTGTGTTTACCCCAGCAAGTGAAGGGTGTGCATAGGTAACTGCCTTGGGGAACTAAAGCATGCCATCACAATAATAGGAATACATGCGAACACATGATCCCCCTCCACGTAACACCTGGCTGTTTTACTGCCCACACAAGATAATTCGGTGGAAAATCGGCAGGCAATCGTCTTAGAGAGCAGAGTAGGGCAATAGATGCACAGTTGCGTAGCTGGTCCTCCTGCAGGGGGGGGGGGGGGGTGCACAGCCGCATATGTGTACGATGGCTGGTGCATGTCATTCATAGTCATTATGTGCATGTTAAACCTAGGTCGAAATGTTAAGGGGGTGCACATGCCCCATGCTGGCTACACGCCTGATGCATTGTCTGGTGCATTGTCAGGAGAGTGGATGGGATTCTGTATGATGGTGTATTTACCTATTCTGCACAGTGCATTTCTCACAATCAAAAGAAGCTGGCACGTGTACTGCTGAACAAAGGTGCCGACGTCAACACAAGGGATGGTGACCTGTACACACCGCTGCATGTCGCGGCTGCTAGTGACAACCATGACATGGTATCAGTACTACTGCAGGTCAGTCACTGTCTTTCATAATTCAATGATGTAATCATGACATCATTATGACCTCATCAATATACTTTGAGTGCCTCACTCTATAGTTGAAAGGCATCACTGTGCGAAAATAGCCCCTACGGAAAGTTGAACATAGATTTCATCCCATACCCCCTAAGACCGAGTGCCCATCACTTAGTATTGTTATGCATGTGGGGTGACAACATAATCACCCTCTAAAGCAATCCACCATATATGGTGGGGTTTACTTTACAGTAATAGGAATCTTCGATATCCGAGGCTTATGTTCTCCAGTTGTTGTGGTGTTATCCCATGATGCGCTATATGGGCAAGCAATGTAAATTACCAAGTGGCAAGGGTACCTATGCTGTGTGTCTGTGATTGCTGATTTGTCTCATTGTGGTAACAGTATGGTGCTGATGCGTTGCTGCTGGATGTCGATGCTAACTTTGCTGTTGATCATGCTGGCCCATCCACAAAGTCCATGCTACAGCAACACATGGAGTCTAAAGGTTAGCTCTTTCCTTCCTTCTCTCTCTCTCTCTCTCTCTCTCTCTCTCTCTCTCTCTATCTCTCTCTCTCTCTCTCTCTCTCTCTCTCTCTCTCTCTCTCTCTCTCTCTCTCTCTCTCTCTCTCTCTCTCTCTCTCTCTCTCTCTCTCTCTCTCTACTCTCTCTCTCTCTCTCTCTCTCTCTCTCTCTCTCTCTCTCTCTCTCTCTCTCTCTCTCTCTCTCTCTCTCTCTCTCTCTCTCTCTCTCTCCCCTCTCTCTCTCTCTCTCTCTCTCTCTCTCTCTCTCTCTCTCTCTCTCTCTCTCTCTCTCTCTCTCTCTCTCTCTCGCTCTCTCTCGCTCTCTCTCCGTCACTCTTCTTCTCTCTCCCCCCTGTAACGGAATCTCAGCCATTCTGTTCCCCGGGACGCAGGACACAAAGGACAAGACTGGTTTGTATTACATTATTTATATTGACAAGACGGAAACGGAGACAACACTCAAACTCAAAGGGACGATCAAGAAGACTGACAAAAGGACTCTCGACTACAAAATCGCGCATGCTCATATCACACATGCACGCGACTAGATGAGACAGTTTGGGGAATGCCATCACACAGGAAAACAACACATCATTTTACAACACCTGCCCCCTTGATGACATTCCACAAAATAATAAACCGACACCACGTTCCACATGCACAACAGCAAAAGGAACCACAGCAAAACAGAAAAACCAAAACCAACCAACAGCTTACATTGTAGCACAACAAAACTGGGCCACGACACAGGGCCAAACCAAGACACAAGAGCCGACGCTCTCAACTCAGGCACACAAGGCCAATCGAAACACGAGAGCCAAAGCTCCAACAAATAACAACCTGCGTGCAGCAGCGCAAAATAAATCTACAACGCAAATTAATGCAGAACAGAACGACGAGAAGAGCAACATACCGACAACAACCAAACTGAAACAACACAGCAACAAGCAACGAACTGAACAGAGAGAGAACAACACAGCGAGCAACACAACAAGACGAACAACAAGGACGACACACAGTCGGTGATGCCAGACTCATCCACTGGCCTGTGGCGAGCCACGGCCACACGCTCCATGCGGTACCTGCCGTCCCAGGCTCCAGTCCCCAGCTTCTGCCGGTCCACACCCTTCTCTGCCTCCTCTCCGCGTCTTCTTCCGCTTCCACCAGCTCCTCGTCTCTCCTCCATCCCCACGCTTACTCTCTAGTTGTACTATTACTTGTATTAGTTGTTGACGACGACGAACAGACTCATGACAAACTTACTCATCCTCTGCGTCCCGGGTTTCGGCACCACGTTGTAACGGAATCTCAGCCATTCCGTTCCCCGGGACGCAGGACACAAAGGACAAGACTGGTTTGTTACATTATGTCATATTTACAAGACGGAAAAGCAAACTGCTCTGACAGAGACGAACAAGAAGACTGACAAAAGGACCCTCGACTACAACATGGCGCATGCTCATATCACACATGCACGCGACTAGACCAGACAGTTTGGGGAATGCCATCACACAGGAAAACAACATATCTTTTCACAACACCCCTCTCTCTCTTTTAATACCTCTCCCAATTTCCCTCTTTCTTTCTGTGCTCATAATGGCACTGCACTGATCCGCACCGTGACTAGATGCAGAGAAAAGCACATGATGTTTTTCATCAGCTATACAACTCCTAGGCTTTGCTTTTAGGGGGTGAAATCTGTTCACTAGGTGGAATTGACTTCAGCTTTTGACAGAAATAGATTACGTTCATATCAAGAATGTTTGACTCTGCCACCACTAACAGCATTTGTTGTCCTTGGCAACCCTCTTTCCCCATACTGTGCTTACTGTATTTTGATAATTGTTTTAAAATGGTCTGTTGCTAGGAGTAACGGTGGCTGGTATGAGGGACCTACGGAACAGAACTGCCAAGGAAATGCTGGAGGATGTGCGAAACCTGACCAAGAAAGGCGGTGATATCGAGCAGCGTTATGACGAGGGCGCAACACTGGTAAGCACAGAAGCAAGCGTGCAGCATGTTACCATGGAGAACACCTACGAACTGTTTGTTGGTTTTTGATCTATTTTAGTTTGTTTGCTGAGCAGTATGATGTACAACGTCAAAGAGGGTCGAACAGCAAACCCTAGTGTATGTTTCGGTCATGCAACTGTGAGACAGGTACCTCTTGATATTTGTACTTTGTACTGTTGAGGCAACGAACTGAAATAATAAAAAACAAACAAACAAACAATTATAGCATAGTAGAGAGCAATAATTGGCTCCTCTACATGTATATGATTATCATGCTTCCTTTGTTTTTGTTCGTATACTTTGTTCTGTGTCATGGCCAGCTTCACATTGCGGCAGTGAATGGTTACCGACTGGTTGCCTCTCATTTACTGGAGCATGGTGCCAATGTCAACTCACAGGACAGGCTGGGTTTCACTCCACTGCACCTCGCAGCTAAGTGGGATCAGGTAGGATCATGATAACACGGAAAATGGATAATATCATGCTTGCACTCACCAAACTTGACGGCAGCCCTGCACTGCTTTTTGCTAGGATGACATTTGTCACCATTTACTTGTACTGTTGAGTGTATCAAACTCAACTGCATACCTATCTACATGTGTGTGTACGTGTTTGTGTCTACATGTGCATGTGCATGAGTGTGTACATGCGTGTGTGCATGTGTGTGTGCATACGTATGTGCATGCGCGTGTATATTCTCTGTATACCTCTAAAGACCAAGATGGTGCGTCACTTGCTAAAGAACCGTGCAAATCCGCGTGTCAAATCCCATGCTGGAGATAAAGCCATGGGTAAGTAACCAGTCACAGACGTCAGGCGAAATAGCACGTTATAGTACATTTGCGATCAGCGGGAAGAAGATGATGACGTCCACTAATTTAGTATCTGTGCACACGAATCTGCTGTGTGTGTGACTCTGTGTGTCAGCTATGATATCATCTTCTGTGGTTCCATGCCTAGCATGTACGTCTGAACCATCCTGCAAAGTTTGAATGACGTAGGTTGAGCGATCGCTCCGCGAAACATACTTTTTGAAATTCTCTCCATAGTATATCTTCCACCATTGAAATTTGGAATTTCTTCAAAAAAAGTGCTGAGATGGGTGGCTTGCAACCTCGATATGGCTTGTTCCAGGCATAGTTTGGAGCCATCTTCTGTTGAAGTAGTGGCGGGGAACTGCCCTGCAACTGCTACAACAAAAAATGATTCGATCTGAGAAAGGGTGAGACCGCGAATCTCGGTTGAATATTGAGTATTTCAAGCCTTTTCACGACGAAGATGGAGTTCTTTTTGGAGATGGACGTCGCGGCAAGGGACATGGTGTCCGACTTCTGGCGTCTGGTGAAGCCAGGGATCATTTTTCCAGTCAGGTCGGCAGCCTAACCGTCGGTAAGCTTGTGTTTGGATCCCGTTCTGCTCGATGTGGTAGATCACAAACAATTTGATATGGCACAAATTGATCTCAGCATCGTGCGTACGGTATTTTATATTCAGAAAATCCCAAAGTGTCTGTGTGTGGCCGTCCTATGCCACGAGAAACTCCAATCAGGCTCCTATGTCCTCTGCCTTCATGATTGAATGTCCACTTCGTTTGAACAACGAACACAACAATCGAGGACGGCTTTGCAATGAAAAATACAGCTTTACTGGAGCTGAAAAAACGGAGAAAAAAACGTGCTCAGGATGAGACTCGAGTACACGCATACTCTCCCCGCAGGTGAAACGCAAATTTTTGTGAAAAATGCGTGACGCCGACTGACCAGTAATTTCGCCTGACGCTGCGAGGAGTTCAACCCTGGTACTGGCTTTTTGACATCATTCTACTCTACTATGTGGGCCAGTATTCATGCGCGAGCCCTGTGTGCGTGCTGTCACATGTGTTTATGTAACACCGCCGTCACCACGCTTCTACTTGAAATCCTTGCCAAGATTTTCTACTTCTAGGTTCGGCAGTGCTAAAGATCCACACCCATTGCACCATAGCATCCATTGTCCAACACCTTCTTTCCAGTCATCACCATCGATGTAACTTTTTTTTCAACATGCACTGCGTCGAGTTTGCATTAAATTTTCTTGTGAATGTTCTGCACCCCCCCGTATAGTAGATTCCTGGGCATGCCCTTCACTATCATCTGTGGCGTCTGGGGATTGGTAGATTCCATTAATGTCTGAGTATAAATAAACAAATGAAGTTTCCCGCCATTGTCAACGTACGGTGTAAGCTTGATGTGGCGTACTCGGTACTCTCGCAAGACAAAGTCGCCTTCCTCTCCTTGGCTTTGTACAAGTACTCATTGTGTGAGAGTGTGGGACCAGTGATGTGACTCTGCTTCCCTGAGTGTGCTAGGATCTCACTGCGTATCCATGGTAACATAGCAGAGTGATGCAGAAGCCTGCCAGCCATTTATCTCCTAAAAGAGCAAGTACATGTACTGTACAAACTGTACACTGCATGCCGGCTTGAGCTGATACCAAGTCTGCATCCTTAGTTTGTAACAAGATGCATGTCCTCTGCACATGCACATGTACGTAACTCGCAGATATGACGGAGAATGCAGAAATTCAGAAGATGATCAAAACCGTGCTGACTGAAGTGTCTCTGATGGTCAACCGCCGATCCAGTTCTGACCTTGTTGGTGGACCAAACGATGACATCGACTCCATGGAGAGGCCACGGTCAAACAGCAAACACAGGTATGAGTTTACCCGGCCATTGAATTCTATTGAATCCCTGGTGGAAAATATCACCAAGGTTCCGTGGAGATAAGACTTAAGTTATGCATCATGTGTCTACGAAACCATGAACATTGTGTGAAATGCTACTGTGATGAGACTATTCCCACGTACTGACGCAAATGTTGTAAATATCTTCTCGTTGCCTGCTGATCTGATTGCAGTGCCGGCCGCACTGGGAGCATTAGCAAGAAGGAGCAGCTGTTCGAGTTCCAGACAATGATGGATAGTGACCTTAAAGAAGTGCTTGAAGAACAGCAGGAGGAAATGCAGAGTGAGGAACTGGAGGATCAGCACAGGATGAGAGAGGATATGAAGGTTGGTTCAAACATTTCTTTAATCCATCTACAACTGTGAAGCAGCCGGCCGCTCCCACCTTCAGAGCTTGCACTTGCTGCCGACTATTTCAGTGGCATTTGAATAACTGACGACTCTCATACATTACAGCCAACCGCCACAACACCGTACTTCACTCATTGTTTTTCTTGCAAGCACCCTCAAAATTGCGGCTGCCAGGTCTATGCCTCCTTCTCCTTTGCAGCAGTGAGCACAGCAGGTCAGCAGTGTGCAAATCACCCGATTGGTCTAGCTGAGGGCAAATGACACATCGTTTAGTGTACAGTTAACTCTGCTTGCCACCTATCTACTGCATACATATACACAGAGGCAGTAGGCTTAGGTTCTGCAAAAATGCTCAATACCTGACTCAGGCAGAGCGGTGTACACAAAGGCACACAATGAAACTCTGAGTCACAGCGGAATTTGCATTGTGTCCCTTTGTGTACTGCATACATATGGTATAGTTCCCTAGTACATGTATGGTTAAATACAGATGTTAGATGGCAAGTACCTGTAGGAGTAAACGTGATTTGTTTTTCACGTTCTCTGTAGGTCGATCTACTGCCGAAGAGATCTTCTGATGATCTGGCATTGCTGTCCGAGCTGTCTGAGGAGACATTGCTGTCGGAGTTGTCCCAACGATATGACGAGGAGCAAACCTATGTGAGTAGGTCACATTGGAAACAGAGTCACGCTCCGGCTCTGAAGTGTGTTGCGTGTTCGCTGCCAGGTCAGCACCTGGCCCACATAGCAAATTGTACACTCTGGTTGTCTTCCAGTGGCTCAACCCATGTGTACACCCTGTTGCCTGGATACGGCATGTGTACTTTTACGGTTGTGCATGGGTAGTGGATATGTTGTACAGCTGTACATACTTCCCTCCCTACCATGCACCCACTAGATGAAGCCCTGCCTTCCGAAATGATCTGGTTTCATGTGTAGTAATATGAATTGCATGATCGATAATGAATAATGGGTGATGATAATGAGCTATACGTGTGCTTGTGCTTATATTCTGTTTCTTAGACTTATGTCGGTGACATCCTGATTGCAGTGAACCCGTTCCGGCCGATGAAATATTTCACCACTGGAGTAAGTGAGGCCAAGTACAATTCACTGTCGAATACTAGAGTATAGCATGTAGTAGATAATTGTTGCCAATTCTTTGCAAGAAAATTCTTGACACAACGTTGCAGATCTCATGTTGGCAACCAAGAACTATGGAGCTTTAGAACCATCCACACAAAGCAAAGGTACTCGTGAAAAGCAGTGGCATTCTATTCGGTGGCTATAGTTCCAAAATCACCTCGTAGCATACATGGTTCAGCATGCCAAGACTGACGAGAACAACAGGATGGTCATTTGTCGGGACAGTGTCCTCAGAAAGGGATGCAAAATCATATTCATATGGGCTGTGGGTCAAATCCAGTAGTAAAATGACCCGAGGAAGCAATAATGCAGAAATGCAGGGGCGTAGCTGGGGGGGGGGGGGGGGGGGGGGGACGTCGCATATGTGTAGGATGGCAGGTGCATGTCTTTCATGGTCATTACGTGCATGCTGAACCAAATGCGAAAAATTGTGGGTGGGTGTGCACATGCCCCCCCCCCCCCCCCCCCCCCGTGCTACATACGAGCTATGCGCCTAGATATGTGTGTGTGAATCAAGTCCTCAAGTCTGCGAATCGTCCTCACATTCTCCTTGAATTGCTCCGTGACCGTGCATGTTGCTCACTGCAGGCCAGCGTGTCCTACATCGGCCTCCAGAACCACCAGTGTCTGCCGCCGCACATCTTCGCCACCGCCGAGCGCATGTACCGGGCGATGACCGCCGAGCGCAGAAGCCAGTGCTGCGTGATCACTGGCGAGTCTGGTGCTGGCAAGACAGAGAGTGGCAAGTTCATTCTGCAGCACCTGCTCAATGTGGCCAACAGCGAGGAGAAAGGTCTGGCGGCGAAGATATCCCAGGTAAAGTGGGGGTAACGTTGTCACGGTGAATCTTGGGTCAAACATTGACTAGCCATCGTTGTACTGGGCATGTAGACTTGCTGGAGTGTTCATGTTTCGATTGGTAACAGATAATCTGTGCAGTGTTCCACTGAAGTCATCACACGGCCCTTAACTACAGATGTTCCCTCATGGACCAACTGTGAATGGCATGGAGTACATGTACTGCCAATGCTCTCACCATGACATGAATCCCAGTTCTATGGCAGTGTACTGTGTTTAGACCTGGTTTAGAAGCATGTGATATGTTATACTTGGTCCGCCCAGGTAAAATTGGCGCTTATCTTCACACTTGTCTCAGGAAAGAAATACGAATATTTGAAGCAAGCCACGATCACAAAGCACTATATACATGATTATTTACATGTCAGTCAGCAACTCAGTCGAAAATTCAAGCAAGTTACACATCCTCCTCGCCACTATCGTCGCTGGAGGAAGAGCTCAAAACGTACGATCCGGACAGCTGCTGCACGGGCCGTTTCATAGCTTGTTCCACTTCTCCTCGTCTCGAATCACGCTCAAAGGCATTGCGTGCCTGTCACCTTCCCATCAGAAGCTGAGTGAGACTGCCCGCATGTTGACTGTAAGTGTTATCCCCGTTCGTCGCAATAATGCGACTTTGTTTGAGACAAAAAGGCAACGCCATATCAGTGTCCTTTTTCAAATCGCCTCTTGCGCTTGTCGTACTTGCTGATCAGCACCCATACCAACGCGAGCCGCTGGTGCTTGTACATGCAGCGCAGTGATAGCTTCCGCTTGATGTACCACCTGTGTGTACTGCACCTACAACGCCGTGCACCAGGCTTTTCGGCTAGTTTCCTGAAAGTCCTTTGCACGGGTGTTTCTGTTTCCTGAAAGTCCTTTGCACGGGTGTTTCTCTCAGGACTTGGTGTTTCCTTTGATTAGCTTCTTTGCCCTGTCCTCTGTGAGCTTCAAAGTGTGTCCGCCGGATTGGTCTCACTTACTGAATACATCGACATGAGCTGCAGTTTCTTCGTCAGCGATTTGCTGGTGATAGCCCTTCACTAGGCGCTGTACTGTGCAAGCACTGAAATTCAAGCTCGCGAAGCGCTTTTTCAGCTTTTCTATACCTCCCCGGGGTAAACAATCCTTGCCATCAGACAGCTGGGAGTAGACAGAAACTGTATTCTCCATCGCTCTGAAATGCGAACATCCTGACCTATTTTATGGACTCGAGCGGAGGTTGCAGTGTTTTCTTGCGCTGACGGAAGTGTTCGTCGGCGGCAGCTCCGTCAAAAAGACTCAAACGAACCGATCGCAACTTCTGTGACGGTTTGTGCTGCCATGTCGTCGGATGCAATGGTGAATGGTCATGTTCGGATGGTGAATCGGTGGTTCCATGCCGTGTGGCACAGGCAGAACACCAAAAAACCAAGTGAGAAGATAAGCGCCAATTTTAACTGGGCGGACCAAGTAACGTTATGTCATGTGATATGTGTCATGTGATATGTGTTATGTGATACAGGCAAATCCACTCCTGGAAGCGTTTGGAAATGCCAAGACCGTCATGAACAACAACAGCAGTCGTTTTGGAAAGTTTCTGGAGCTCTTCTTCAACAACCGAGGAGAGGTTATCGGAGGTGAGTTTGGTTTAGTGTACATCCTACACAATTGCTTTGTTGCTTATATTTGGCTCTTGTTTTGACTGGCTCGGAAAATAGAAGCTGACAAGGTCCTTCCCCAAACCAGGCGATCGCAATACCTGTTCTTGTTGCAATGAAGCGGCCAGAGGTCTTGCATCTGCTGTTGAGTTTTCGCTTGATATCCAATATGCATTGTGTTTCTATTCATGCACATCAAACTCAGTCTCCAGACAGCTAGCTATTACTGTTACAGACACATCACGTAATAATACATTGTACAGCTGGATATACCCGGCTTGATGACTTGAATCTCCGAATCCTCCAGCTCCACTGCATCCACTTACGAAACGAATGAAATGATTTTGGAAGATCGTTTGACTATGCACTGAAACTCGAAGCGTATTTGCAGTGGGTGTTGAAGCATTGCTCGTGTTTGCTCTTTGTTTTGCAGCTAAAGTGGCCGAGTACTTGCTGGAGAAGTCGCGAGTGGTCATGCAGGGAACAGGTGAACTCAGCTTCCACATCTTCTACATGATGTTTGCTGGACTGTCACCGGATGAGAAGAACCAGATCCTGCTGCGGTCACCCGAAAAGCACAGGTAACCATTGGCAACAAGTGAACTGAACTATTAAATGTGCACATGAAATATCAAGGTTGTGCAATTACATAATCAGTTGAGATGCTTTGGCAAAGTTGCGGACTCGCGGCACAGCGCTGCACTTTTACTGGCGACTCGCTCTGTATACTTAGTGCCCATTAGAAAATACGTTGACTCACCCCATGAAATCATTCGCGTAACCAAGAGTACATGAAAACCAGAGTGTGCAGCTTGGGGCCTTTTCTGCTACGGGTGTCTGTCCCGGCGGAATTCCGTGATTACATCATATTTGGCGCAGATCTGAGGCGGTAAATGGCGTAGTGCGTGCAACTGAGCTGCAGTTGTGCAGAAAGAGACCTGCTTGAATCCTGCTTATACGCACTGCATCACTATAATGATGTTATCACGGATTGCCGCCGTGACAGCAACCCATCCGAGCTGCACACTCTGGTTTTCATATACTCTTGGCGTAACCTGTATAGGTTGAACAAATGCGGCTCCATAGTGTCTGTGTACGTATACTGAACGTATCCCGGTAGCATGCCGGTAAACAAACTTCACCACACGCATGAACCTTACAGAAAGACTGCTTATCTGTGGCAACTGATTATCCTGGCACCTAGGATGTATTTATTTATTTATTTCTGCACCTCGTGGCATGTCAAGACAGCCAATTGAATTGAGGAGAGGGTGAGACCAACCGCGGAAGAAGAGAAAAAAAAGAAAATGAAGAGCACGTACACAAAGTGGGAAGGGATTAGCAACTTACAAAGCAATGGGATGCTCAGCGAGCTATGCAGCGGAAGTGGTGACTGTGACTTTGTTTACCGTCAGGCGAAATAGCACGTCATAGTACATTTGAGATCAGCGGGAAGAAGATGACGACGTCCACTAATTTAGTATCTGTGCACACGAATCTGCTGTGTGTGTGACTCTGTGTGTCAGCTATGATATCATCTTTTGTGGTTCCATGCCTAGCATGTACGTCTGAACCATCCTGCAAAGTTTGAATGACGTAGGTTGAGCGATCACTCCGCGAAACATACTTTTTGAAATTCTCTTCATAGTATATCTTCCACCATTGAAATTTCGAATTTCTTCAAAAAAAGTGCTGAGAGGGGTGGCTTGCAACCTCGATATGGCTTGTTCCAGGCATGCTTTGGAGCCATCTTCTGTTGAAGTAGTGGCGGGATCTGCCCTGCAACTGCTACAACAAAAAATGATTCGATTTGAGAAAGGGTGAGACCGCGAATCTCGGTTGAATATTGAGTATTTCAAGCCTTTTTACGACGAAGATGGAGTTCTTTTCGGAGATGGACGTCGCGGCAAAGGACATGGTGTCCGACTTCTGGCGTCTGGTGAAGCCAGGGATCATTTGTCCAGTCAGGTCGGCAGCCTAACCGTCGGTAAGCTTGTGTTTGGATCCCGTTCTGCTCGATATGGTAGATCACAAACAATTTGATATCGCACAAATTGATCTCAGCATCGTGCGTACGGTATTTTATATTCAGAAAATCCCAAAGTGTCTCTGTGTGGCCGTCCTATGCCACGAGAAACTCCAATCAGGCTCCTATGTCCTCTGCCTTCATGATTGAATGTCCACTTCGTTTGATCAACGAACACAACAATCGAGGACGGCTTTGCAATGAAAAATACAGCTATACTGGAGCTGACAAAAAGAAAGAAAAAAACGTGCTCAGGATGAGACTCGAGTACACGCATACTCTCCCAGCAGGTGAAACGCAAATTTTTGTGAAAAAATGCGTGTCGCCGACTGACCAGTAATTTCGCCTGACGAGGGAGATACTGAAGTGCTGTCTGACGAGGGAGATACTGAAGTGCTGTCTGACGAGGGTACGGAATTTGGGCATATCTGGAGCTTGTCTAACACTGGGAGGCAGTTGGAGCCACGTGGAGTATTGCCACCAAGGATTGGATGCTAAGCACCAACTTGCAAGGGTTTGTTGCTAAGCACCAAGGGTATGTTGCTAAGCACCAAGGGTCTGTTGCTAAACACCAAAGGTCTGTTACTAATCACCAAGGGTCTGTTGCTAAGCATCATGGGTCTGTTGCTAAGCATCAAGTGGATGTTGCTAAGCACCAATGGTCTGTTGCTAAGAACAGTATTTTGCTGTACAGGTGAAACAACTGACCACCGATGAGATCGGCCAAGTGGGGCGGGGTCTGTGAATCCAGGGTGGCCCTCTCACATTGCACACGTCCCCTACCCCAGAATAGTCTTGTAGGCCGCTTTTATAAACGATAGGAGTCATTTGACCAGGTTTCCCTACAACTATTTGGCCCTCTCTCTTTGTCTGTCTCTGCCTCTGTCACTCTGTGTCTCTCTCTCCCCTCTCTCTCTCTCTCTCTCTCTCTCTCTCTCTCTCTCTCTCTCTCTCTCTCTCTCTCTCTCTCTCTCTCTCTCTCTCTCTCTCTCTCTCTCTCTCTCTCTCTCCCTCTCCCTCTCTCTCTCTCTCTCTCTCTCTCTCTCTCTCTCTCTCTCTCTCTCTCTCTCTCTCTCTCTCTCTCTCTCTCTCTCTCTCTCTCTCTCTCTCTCTCTCTCTCTCTCTCTCTCTCTCTCTCTCTCTCTCTCTCTCTCTCTCTCTCTCTCTCTCTCTCTCTCTCTCTCTCTCTCTCTGCCTTTGTCTCTCTGTGTCTGTTTGCGTGTCCCTCTCTATTTTTGTCTCCCTCTGTCGCGCTCCCACTCTCTCCTCTATTTCTAGGTACTTGATATCCAGTGACACAACAGCAATGAAGAACTACAACACCATAGACAATCAGGAGCAGTTCCGCGAGTTCCGTGAGAGCCTGAGGGCTGTTGGATTCACTTCAGACGTAAGGACGCAACACGAAATTTCCTTTTCATATTTATTCCTGAATGCACTAGCACACGGCTGCAGCTGATTACATTGCTATATGCGACAACTGTAGACAGCAGTGTGCTTCTCCGGTAAGAATTTAACATTGTATTTCCTAACGTCTTCGTTGAACATGTCTACTGTTGGAAGAAAAAGAGGCCATCCATCATCCATAATCCTAGCTGCTAACTATTGTCTACTATTGATGGCTTCACTTTGGGCTCCAGGACGAGCTGTGTCTGATGTCCATGCTGGCAGCTGTGTTATTGATTGGTGACCTCAAGTTCACCACTGTGGACAAGTCTGATTCAGCCAGAATACTGAGCGACGAGATCCTTTATGCAGGTAATGTACCTACCAGACTTCTGTCTCTTGATTTTCCAACTGAAACCTGTTTACTCCAGTTTACCTTTTGGGTTTGCACAACCCTACGAGTAGTCAGCTGCAGCTTTGTGATATTCGAATTTGTGAAATTGTTTGTGTGCGACACTACACCATTCAATTTGGAAAATCCGGTGGTGTATTATGGTGATTCCTGGGAATCGAACATCTTGTGTTGGTCTTGATAAAGTGAATTCTGCTACATACAGTACCCCCCCCCCCCCCTCCACCACCACCACCACCACCACCACCACCACCACCACCACCAGGTTCATTCTCATACTTTGATCCAGTTATGAACACAGTACAGTACAGTGTAACCTTTCCAGGAAATTTCATTTTTGGATCAGGGAAATTACCAGATAATGCATTATGTACCGTACACCGTACACAGGCACAGAGAACAACAACTAAACATAAACATCCGTCCGGATAGTTTGAGTCCGATCAATCAATACCCTAGCGTAATCACTGCTCACTACATTTCTATGTGTACTTCTACAGTTGGTCAGCTGCTGCAAGTCGGTCCCAAGGAGATAGGCGATGCGCTGGTGGCGGACGTGACTGTAACAAGAGGTATGCCAATGGGCTTCCAAGCCTTGCATATGGCATTTTAAATGATTTTCTAAACAGACATGATCTGTGTGTGCCCAATGGCATGTCAAAAAGTCTATGAGTACAATGTATGGCATCTACTGCCAGACTCGTGCTCAATGCAAGTGTGATGCATGTGCTCTCCGGGAATTCGTTGCTTCACATTCCAGGCGAAGCAGTACGTCGGGAGCGCAATGTTCTCCAGGCTAAGGACTGCCGTGATGCCCTTGGCAAGGCGCTCTACGGACGGCTGTTCAGCTGGATTGTCAACAGCATCAACCATCACCTACAGCCACCTGAAGATTCGTAAGTTAGCGTGACCTTAAACCAGATGTCAATATCAAGTGAAGTGGCGCAAAATGGAAGATCATCAAGTTGTGCTGTTACATAGCATGATCATGGCCACTGTGAATGAAGAGTGGTGCCGTCCCTTATGGTGTCCTATCCTACTTGTCTATAATCGTTATGCTAGCTGCTTTGTTCATTGTCTATTCATTTGAATAGCATTGTGGGGTGTGATTTCAGGACAAGTGTCTCATCAATCGGAGTTCTGGACATTTTCGGATTCGAGAACTTTGAGAACAACAGCTTTGAGCAGGTGAGCCCGTAAGACAGTGCTTTTAAAGGGGTTCAACCAATCAAGATTCCTTTCTTTGAGTTTCCTATGTTGGCATGGCGAGGTATTGCCGAGGGTTTTATGGTGCAACAAGGGATTCCCCAAGTAATTCTACCATGGCCCAATGCTACAACCGGGAACTTGCAGGGTTATAGCTTCCTGCTTATTACAGTGCAGTGTAATGACCCCCCCCCCCCATCGCTCTCTGGCATGATGATTCACCGATTACACGCAGAAGGCACAAAGGAGGTCTACAGAGTGTGTCGCAACTCCCAGTTTCTTGCACAATGCAGTCACTAGGCAACTTGTTATGTGTAATAGTGATTCACCGATTACAAATGTTCTGACTGAATTAAGTGGACTGAGCACTAACGTCACAGAGCAGAAACTCACTGGTGCAATCCCCAAATTAGCGTTGTCTGAACATGCTGCAAGATTGAGTTGAATAACTAAACATATAAAATGCTGGTGGTGTTAGTGGATATTATAGCGTAACTTGTAGCTCTTTGGTCCTTTTTTTCTTCTTATATTATTAATCCTTGGCTCTCCACCCGAGTCTAAATACAAGTGCTGCACTGATGATGCATTAACGGAGGTTTCTATGTGACTGTGTCCACTGCTCCTTGTGTTGATACCGTCTGCATAGCTTTGTATTAACCTGGCCAATGAGCAGATGCAGCTCTACTTCAACAATCACATCTTCCAGCTGGAGGCTGATGAGTGTGCTAAGGAGGGCGTCAGTCTCAAGAACATTGTCTTCACTACAAACAAGCCCATCCTGGAGCTGTTCCTAGATGTAAGATCACTGGCTGTGCGTAGCTTGTCACCACAACACAATATACTGACATTACCGGGTGTTCAGTCTGTATTGTTCAGCCCACTCTTGCCGATGAAACGCTTTAGAAGAGAGCACAGGTGCGCACACATCATCATCTCCCTCTTCAGCCTACATCTAGTCCCCTGACGTACCTCTTGTCATAGTCACAAGGACAAGTCAGCTACCTGCCATAAGAGACTTACCATATCAGATAACTACATGCTTGTATGCTTTGACATGCACACCAGACCTACATGTGTTGAGAGGCCACCTGCGTATATTGACCACCTGCATATAAAGACCACCTACATATAAAGACCACCTGCATAAAAGGTCACTTGTCAATGAAGACCACCTGTATGAAAAGGTCACCTCTGTATAAAGGTCACCTATCTTTTGAGGCCAATCGATGTGTCTGTGAAGTAAGGAGTGGTTGCTAAAAGCAGGCTTCATTCATTGATACATGTACGTTTTCGCCATTGTTTCCCTTCAGAAGCGGCAAGGTCTCCTTGCACAGCTGGATGAGGAGAGCAAGTTCCCTCGTGCCACGGACAAGACGCTGGGTACAAAGCTGCACAAAACACACGGCAAGAACCAGCGCAGCATCTACATCATGCCCCGGGACGGAGGGCCGTCGTTCACAATCAAACACTATGCAGGAGCGGTGAGTCACCAATGCCATCTGACACCAGTGCATTCACGTGGCAACGGTCTGATCTCTGCATTCAGGTGACAAATGGTAGCATCATAGAACATTGCCTGAGCTAGGCAGTTGCTTAAGCAGGTGCCTTCAGACTCACTACAGTACTGTCCGGCGCCGAAGAACGGGGCACCGAAGAACGGGGCACCGAAGAACGGGGCACCGAAGAACGGGGCACCGAAGAACGGGGCACCGAAGAATGACCAGCCTAGAGTTTCACCAAGCACCGCATACCAAGGTAGACACAGTGACCCAACTAAACATCTAAATCCAGAATACATGGAAGTAAGAATGGCCTGGGCTACTAGGCTGACCCCCAGTTCTTCGGCACCCGACGGACACCCTACGGTATTGCTGTAGGTCTGACACCTGTATTCACGTGGGAAATGATATCATCATGGAGCATTCCCTGGGCTTGGTAGATGTGAAAGCAGGTGCTCTCAGACATATTTGGTCAACAATGTCTTCTGTCTCGCTGTTTTGTTGTAGGTTCGCTACAACTTGGATGGTTTTCTGGACAAGAACCGAGACACACTGCCTCCAGCTCTTGTCATTACCATGAAAGGTGAATGCTCACCGAACAATTGCATCATTGGCACGGAGATGTGGTGGGCTAGATGGGTGTTGAGAATTGTACACACATGGCTCTAGCCAACTGGCCATTTCAAGCTAGTGTATCTGTTTTGTTGTTCTTTTGGCATAACATTATACAAAGCTGTGGATGGCAGTTCACCTCAAAGCGGACATGCTCATAAATAGATAACCAAATACATATCATTGGTTAGAAGGTGTTCACCTTCAGTCACTCTCGTCAGTTGAACAATGGGGACAGTGACTAACCGGCACTTACTGCTGTGGCAAATGGCGATTGCTCACTGAAAGTCAACAGTGTATGAGATTCCAGAGTTCACAGGAGTTTGCCATGCTGCATTTCTAATGAGTGTTTACGCATAATCTGATGCACAATGCTGTGCTGCATATTGTCTACCCTCTCGTCTGCACAGCAAGCACTTCTCTCTTGGTGCGAGAAATGTTCCACGCCAACCTTGGCACCACTGGTTCCATCAAGCCGAGCACGCGGCAAAGCACCAAGAGACGCTCTGTCCACAAACCACAGCCCAACATGCCGTTTGGTGTCGGCCGGAATGCCTCGCGTCGCAGCATTCGGCAGTCTCGGCGGAGAGGGCCAGAGCGAGCAAAGGTAATACCACTCTAGAGCATTGTCTTATTCATTGCACACAAGTACATGCATCACTTCATGCCTCCGTGTCACTATTGCTTGGTCTCCTTCACTTCAACACTCCTAGTCATTGGTTTGTGGCCATATGCATGAGTGCATGCGTGAGTGCCTATGTGAACGTACTTTTCTTTTTCTTTTTTACTAGAGCCACATTAACCCGTCATGTGTGAGCCATGAATAAGGGGAGTGGTGGCGTGGTCTGGGATGCTCTGCCGACCGTGGGTCTCGGCTTCATCACAACCAGGCGCGCCAATAGCAGAGATAGAAAGAGAGGGAGGGAGAGAGAGAGAGAGAGAGAGAGAGAGAGAGAGAAAGAGAGAGAGAGAGAGAGAGAGAGAGAGAGAGAGCATTGCATGTCGTTGCACGTGCTATGAGTGTGTCTGTGGCATTATGTGTATGTGTATGTGTATGAATACATTCACTTGTGTAATGTTATGTGTGTGTCTGTGCACATAGGGTATGCGAGGACGGCAAGGTGATGTTACTGGTTCGCGAGCAAGACAAGCGATGACAGTCGCCAATCACTTCCGGGTATGATGATCTGTAAACGTGCAAACAATACCGATACTAGTATCACTTTGAAGTACTGTACGTCACTGTAGTTTTCATGCTAGCCAGATCTAGCCACTTTTGAAACCTGAGGTGGATGTTTGCCAATCTCATGCACTACTTCTGCACGAATTGCTGGTGGTAAGCAGAATGAGAAAACGAATGGTCCGTTTGGAGTATCTTGGATGGCATTTCATTGAACCTCACAGAATTGTTCCCAGGAGAAGGCAACAAGGCAGTACATATTATGTCTATAAAAATATATCAAAGACATTCCAATACGAACTTAGACGTTGGAACAACCAACTTTAAAGACATTCCAAGGTGACACATTGACGTATCGTTTTCTCAGTGTAGTATGTGCTATATCTTTACTGAGCATCTTGCCAAGTATGGAAAAATGGTAAAGGCAATCTCAGCTAAGGGCCTCTCCAAGGATTCCCAGCCAATGTTGGAACACGTGTACGTGTCTTTCATGTTTATATGCTTGTTCCCTGCACTGTCACAGAATTCTCTGAGTGAACTCATGGAGAAGATGACCTCAGCCAGTCCTCATTTCATCCGGTAGGTCCTGATCACCGTCAACATTCCACTGTGCACATTTGACTCTGAGAATAGGAGTGTGAGGACTGGGAGTGTGAGGACTGGGAGTGTGAGGACTGCGAGTGTGAGGACTGCGAGTGTGAGGACTAGGAGTGTGAGGACTGGGAGTGTGAGGACTTGGAGGGGAGAGTTGAACTGGCACTTACTATAAGCAACTCATACTTCAAGTCCGTACTAGTCTAGAGTACTGCCGGGCGCCGAAGAACGGACAGGCTAGAATTTCATCAAGCACAGCATACCAATGTATACACGGTGACTCAACTGCCCATAGACTGTAGTACATGAAAATAAGAACGGTCTAGGCTAGGAGGCTGACCCGTACAGTTCCTCGGCGACTAGCAGTACGGTACCCATACAGTGACGCTGTGAAAGACTCTGTGA